TTCACACGGAAATAAGTCCTTCACAGAACTACAAGCTTCCGACTGAACCTATAATACCATTGTTTTAGTCGATATTTCCCTATATTTTATATACCAATTTTGTTAATAACTCAAATTTAAAAAAGTCATAACTCTGCCAAAAATGCATTAATTTCAATTCGGAAACCTTTCCTATGTTAGTTTTTATTATGGCAACAAAAATGCATACTCAGTTCACACGGAAATAAGTCCTTCACAGAACTACAAGCTTCCGACTGAACCTATAATACCATTGTTTTAGTCGATATTTCCCTATATTTTATATACCAATTTTGTTAACAACTCAAATTTAAAAAAGCCATAACTCTGCCAAAAATGCATTAATTTCAATTCGGAAACCTTTCCTATGCCAGTTTTTATTAGGGCAACAAAACTGCATACTCAATTTAAAATCTAAATTTTTGTCGATTTTTGACAATTTTAATGATGTAACCCCTTATCTTTTTTTGCAAAAATGGACAAAATTTTCAAAAAATTTGTTTCCTCTGAACATAGTTAGATCGATTCAGCTGTTGATGCTGATCAAGAATATATATGATTTATGGGGTCGGAAATGGCTCCTTTACATTTTTACAAGCTTCCGACTAAACGTTGAGTCAATATTTATCTTTATTTTATATGGCAATTTTGTCTTTAAACCAAATTTTAAGAAATTCACAACTCAACCAAAAATGCATTAATTTCAATTCGGAAACCTTTCCTATGTTAGTTTTTATTATGGCAACAAAAATGCATTCTCAGTTCACACGGAAATAAGTCCTTCACAGAACTACAAGCTTCCGACTGAACCTATAATACCATTGTTTTAGTCGATATTTCCCTATATTTTATATACCAATTTTGTTAATAACTCAAATTTAAAAAAGCCATAACTCTGCCAAAAATGCATTAATTTCAATTCGGAAACCTTTCCTATGCCAGTTTTTATTAGGGCAACAAAACTGCATACTCAATTTAAAATCTAAATTTTTGTCGATTTTTGACAATTTTAATTTTTTTAATTTTTTTGCAAAAATGGACAAAATTTTCAAAAAATGTTTTTCCTCCGAACATAGTTAGATCGATTCAGCTGTTGATGCTGCTCAAGAATATATATGATTTATGGGGTCGGAAATGGCTCCTTCACAGTTTTACAAGCTTCCGACTAAACGTTGAGTCAATATTTATCTTTATTTTATATGGCAATTTTGTCTTTAAACCAAATTTTAAGAAATTCGATAGAATCGATCGAAATGTTCTATATAGCTTATTATATTTAAGTGATTTTTGTTAAATTTAATTAACAGCCTGCCAAACAACTAAACCCACATAGTATTTTCCGTCCACAAACTAAATCAGAAACGTTGTTAGAATGTTAAGGCTCTCAAAAACTAACCACCTTTGCTGGCAGCACACACGTTAAGGTAATAAAAGTGGTAATGGTTGTAAAAGTGGTAAGGGCATTAAAAGTTTGACACAAGCAATACCAGGCACAAGTCAAGGCCAAAAGAGAGGAAAAATCTAAGGATTAGACTGCAAATGGACCCAGAGGTCTCACTTTCCGGAAAGTCACATTAATTTCAATGCTTTTCTCTCTTCTCGTCGGGACTCGTCAACCGCTGCAGCCACAATAAACTGCAGTTGCAACTTAAAGCCACACACATTGCATTGTGTGCGTAGAACAAAAATGCAGAAGGCAGAATACAGAATGCAGCCCGCATAAACTTTACCAATTTTCACTCAACTGCGCAGCACTAATTTATGCAACACAAGGAGGCAGAGCTGGTGGCAGGAACATGGCCCCGAAACAAGAGCAACTTATACCCAACGACAGCACACATGACAAGAATTTGTTATTTAGCAACTCAATGGTGCCGAAGAGAGGAGAAGGCGGTGTTATTATAAGCCAGATTTACTGACTCGAAGGAAAAATAATGATTATTTTTCATGAAAAAATAATCACGCGGGCTTTCAGTTTAAGAAAATAAATTCTTTTTTTCGGCAAGAATGCAAATAATTGCCAGCGCGCGACTGGTTAGCACTCAAAGTTGTCCAAAATTGTTTTATGTAAATATAAACAGAAGCGGAGCTGCTGCTGCTGCCGGAACCGGAAATTGTTGCAGCTGCAGAGCGTCACATAAATACAATAAATATATATACAAGTACATATATATATGTATATATATAGAGGAGGCAAGGCTTTGAAAGTTTCTGGCGTGTAAGTTTGGTTTTCCTACGGCCACGTGCCGCCCCAAACTCCTTTCCTGCCAGCGGCATTGCACTTCCATTCCCCCCCAAAAGGACTTCCACTTCGCGCCAAATTTGTTCTTTTTTCCGCCTTTTTCAGTGTTTGCAGCTGAATTATGAAAGACTGCAAGGGGAACAGGGGAGCAAGTGCTCTTGGGGAGCACTATGCTTCATATCCGGTCAACAACGAACTGAAAATGCACTTGAACTATAAATAAATTTCATAGAAATTCGGGATTGGAAAATAAATAAAAAATATTGAGTGGGTTACTTCGAAATCTTCTTTTCTCTATGATATTTTCCTTAAATTAAAGAACAAAACTCCATAACTTCAAATAAATATAGAAAAACGGATTGTTAGCCAGCTCTAGGAAGCTCTGGAAGCAATACAATAAATATTAAAAATATAATAAATATGAAATTGTTACCCCCCACAAGTCCATTCCCATTCATTTTCCTGTAAAACCCATGTTGCAGCCAATTTGTGTTCCGGTTGAAAACCATTGGCACAAGCTTCCCAAGACGCCTTTTTCCATGGCCCTTGAAGGAATTCAAATATTAACTGCATTCAGTGGCAGTTAAGTTTGTTTTGCCACTTGTGCCTCACCTTTTGGCAACGAAATTGAAATTGCAATTGCAATTGCAAGGCAACGGGCGTGCACACAAATTAAATGAAAATGCTCTGTCTGTCTGTGGTAATGAAAAATGCAGGGAAAATATTTGCCCGAAAAGTTTTTCGGCAAAGTCGAGAAGAGCATGATATTAACACGAAAACCAAGTAAATAGTAAAATGCTTAAAGCCACCGCTCCGGGAGCACCGTGGTGAAGCCAAGCCTTGAGGTTTGAGGGATAGGTGGATTGGGCAGCATCCTTGCAACAACTTGGCGGCAGTAAAGTTTTATTAACTCCAGCAGCATCCCTGGAGCTCAGCGAACCGAAGGACTTCTCCCACATGCTTAAGACACTAAATCCCTGGTGTTAAATGCCCTCGATGTAAACTTAAATTGCCGCCAGTCGTCAGTCCATCGTTTAAGCAAAGCTTCGTTATTATAATTACCTGAGAGAGACGGAGGAGTGCCAGGGAGCAATTTGCATGTTGTTCGAGTACTTAAATAAAATGGCATGCTGGTGCAAATATAATATTTTTGCATTGCATAATTTTGCGCACATTAAAAGGCAGTGTAAGTAAGGCACAGGGTGGAGAGGGGCTACAGCGCCAAGGGGAAATGAAATTTGATTGTGAAAAAGGATTCGTAGCGCCATTTCCGTTTGTTGGCGTTGATGCTGACTTAATTAGCATAGAAACTGTAACTGTAACTATAACTAGAACTGGGACTGGAACTGGAACTGGAACTGAAACTGGGTCTGGGGAGTGTTCCTGGCAGGACCTCTTCCTGGACTAATTGAGGTTAGGTGTCCAACTTTAAAGCGACTTCTGACTTCTGACTGGCGCTTATGCAATTTGCAGCCTGGCCCCAAAAACACCCCAAGTGGTGTCGACTTAATGAGGTTCAAATCACCGGCGCTGCCGAGTCAGTTTTGGCCAACTTAGTTGGCCTTCTACGCGAAAGGTGTGCCAATTAAATTATGCAGATTGTGGCCTAAAGCCACCTCCGCATGCATTTGCTTAATGAGCCTGCCGCATATTCGAGCATTGATATACATTAAATATTTAAGGGGATATTAAGCACAGGAAATGTAAGAACTATATCAATTCCAACTATAATTTGCATATGAAATTAATCCGAAATTATGACACATTTAAGGAAGATAAGTTCTATACTCTTCCGCTTTCCAGACCCAAAAAAGAAAGCCTTAAATATCATATTATTCCAAGTTCTATGTAAGAAATACTTGTAAAAAAACTCCAACTTCAGTCACTTTATTACGATGAGAAAACTTTTGTCGGCTGGCAAACGAAAAAAGAGAGCAGTCCGGTGCCTTTTATTTAATCTAACAAACAGCCGGGGCACGCACTCGCATTTGGGCCAACTTTTGCATAAGGAAACTGATGTAAAACGTTCCAATTGCCGGCAAGGACTGGTAGAAATTATATAATCAAAAGGAACGACCTTATAATACCTAGCAAGGATTTTTAAATATATTATTACGTAAAGAAAGAAGTTGTAAATTAGCCTATGATTCAATCTGATTAAGTTGAATTTTTCAATGTTTAGAATTTAAGTTTCAACTGGTATAATATCCATATATCCATATCTAACCAGGTTAGATCCCAATGACTCTGTTTACCTTGTTATAAACATCAAGCGACTTAGAGGAACAAGGCGTAATTTATACCTAGATTGGAGTCATAGTTGGTTATAGCCACATAATAAGGTAGTCCTTCTTGAAAACCAATATTCCTCATTTGTTTTCAAACCGCTGGGTATTACCAACAGCCAAACAAATAAACAAAAGGGACCCACATGCAGTCACACAAACAATTACATGGCCGGCTAACAGCGTCATGAGCATTAAATAACTCCAACAAGTATGCAATGCTTCTCGGATCCGTGCTCCTTGCTCCTTGCTCCCAGGATCCCTCCTTTCTACGCATACCGAGAACTCAAACTTTTTGCTCTTAGCCAGAAGTAAGTCTGGGTGGATGCTGAGAATTGTTTTACTGCCCTTTTATTGCAACCCAGCTCGTGCACGCACAGCTAGCTGGCTCTCCCCGGCGGCCACGTGCAGTGGGGGCTAATTATAGCCAGGATTCGGCAGGATTCGTGACTCACCTCGCGACCCTTGCAGTGCAGCGTGTCGTAGACCTCGGGCCTGCCCTCGATGTTCTTCAGTCGCATCGGCTTGCGCATCAGCAGGCTGCGTCCCTCGTCGTCCAGGTGCATAAAGCTGCAATTCGGAGGCAAGATGAATAAATGGTGGCTAAAGCAGGTGGCAAGTGGGGAGTAGCTAGTGGCAAGTGGCTAGTGGCAGGTGAAAAGTTACCGCTAAGACAGAGAAGCTTTGCACTTTATTCGCGCAATTTGTCTCAAAGTATTTACTTAAACGAACGTTTCTCTGAGTCCCTGAGCTGTGTCTCTGTCGAGATATAACTCAGCTGCTGGAGCTTGACTTGAATAATCCCTACTGCTTATAACATTCATGTCCCTAAAGTGGTTACACAGCTAGTGTTATCCCTTTTATTTACATTAATATTTATTTAAAGATTTTTCCATTATTTGATTTTGTTTAAATAAATATTTATTATTTGTCTTAGATCAATTTAATTGTTAATACGGTCACCATATTCCTTAAGTTATTGTCTGTCAATATAGAAATATATGGGCTAAATTGGGCAAATAAATATTTCTGAAATCCTTTTTTTGCGTAAGTTGCAGGGTTCCATAATTTTAGTAAGAAGCTAATAACGATGTGAAGGAGCCATTTCCGACCCCATAAATCATATATATTCTTGATCAGCATCAACAGCTGAATCGATCTAACTATGTTCGGAGGAAAAAAATTTCTTGAAAATTTTGTCCATTTTTGCAAAAAAAGATAAGGGGTTACATCATTAAAATTGTCAAAAATCGACAAAAATTTAGATTTTAAATTAAGTATGCAGTTTTGTTGCCATAATAAAAACTAACATAGGAAAGGTATCCGAATTGAAATTAATGCATTTTTGGCAGAGTTATGCGATTTTTAAAATTTGATTTGTGGAAAAATTTGTCCATGAAAATATACCCTTAACTTACAAAAGAGATTTACCCATTTCCCACAACGGAATTCTACCCTGCGTAACCACAGAAAACTTGTCATGTTTCTAACTAGAACTACTTCAGCTTAGTCTTTAGTCCATTCGTTATCCTTTCACACTCCCCCGAGCAATTTATCACCTTTAGCCAGCACACTTGTATCTGCTGTATCCTTGATAAATGTGGTTCTTACCTGCCGGCACGCGACCGATAATCCTGTGACATTTTCCTCGGCTGCTGTTGGTTTTTGGGCGAGGGCGAAAGTTCTCGGGAACTTTTCCCCGACGCCGTGCCGCTGCCCGAGGCAGTGCATCCTGTCGCCTGGCCACTCGAGTCGAGCTCAACGACGATGCTGGTGTTGGTGCCACGACGTTCGCGAATCGGCGGCGATGATGCCGCCGAGATGCTGGCTCTCTTGTGGTGCTTCAATGGCGTGCCGCCACTTGACGAGGCGCCTCCAGCACCAGCAGCAGCAGCTGCAGCTGCACCAGAGGTGGCTGCTCCTCCAGCATGGTCCACTTCATGGCAAGGCGAAGAGTCGCCACCGGCGGTCAAGGGTCCATTGCCATTCACTGTCGGGACTTGAGCTTTGATTTTTCTGCTATTTTGTTGCTGTGCAGCCTTTAGATGCTGCTGCTGTTGCAGTTGCTGCTGTTGTTGCTGTTGCTGTTGCTGCTGTTGCTGCTGTTGCTGCTGCTGCTGCAGCTGTGCCTGCTGTTGCTGCTGTGCATTTGGCGTCCTTTTGATGGTCACAAAGCGCAGGTTCTCCAATATCGATGTGAAATGCTGCGACATCTTGTCCAGGGACCTCCACTTGGTCCTCGGTCTCTCCCCTTTGGCTGATTGCTTGCCTCGTTTATTTAGAAGCCAACAGCCAACAGGTGAACAAACCACTTGGACAATCTCCTGTCCACCGAAGTTTTTTGATTAAATTCTGTTCTGAAAAACTTTTTGCGGTTTCTCTCTTTCTTTTTTTTCGGGAGACACGCTCAATTGGTTCACTGTGGATGAAAAAGTTTAAAACAGAAAGTTGTATAAATATAAAGGGAAACTTTAAATAATATACAGGTGTTATGAGCACTTTAAATCGAGCAAATGACTCTAGTTGAGCAGAGTTTGTCTTTCTTGTTTTACACTTATATACTTTCTTCTGATTCACAGGTGTTCTTCTCAGTTTAAGCTTTTAAATAAGGCTTAGAAAGAGTAGAGTACATCAGCAACTTAACAATAAATTAATCTTAATATTGTTAAACAAATCAGATAAAATGACAAATTTAAATATAAATATATTTATAATAAAGAGCATATTTCACTTAGTCTAAGCATTATCTTGGCCTTAGGAACCTTCCATTCACCGAATGTCATCAGACATCATCTGTGGCTGTGAGGCTTAACCTGCTCCTTGGCTTTTCCTGGCATCCACTTAAAATGCCTGAGAGCACCACAGAAAGGAAAACAATAAAAGGACAACCAACTCAGCTGGCTTTTAGCTACAAAAATAGACTTATGCACTCAGAGGCAGTCGGGCAATTAATTGATTGATTGATTAGCAAGGCGAAGAGGCATAAAAGCACACAGGCAAGTTAAACCATATTAAAACAAAATAAACCGAAAATTGCGGTCATTATTTTGATTTGCCTTTGAGCACACAAACCGAGAAAACAAAGCAAAAACCCGAGCAAACAAACAATGAGGCTGTAATTAGAAGGCGAGATAGCATTTCATTTGGCATTCTCTGTGTGTGCCATCAAAGCGAATGAATTCGAATGATTCGGCATTTGATTTCGAATTTTAATGTGCGTCGAGAGTGCTCATTGAACTCGAATCGACAGGCAGGACATAGAAGGGTTGGGCAGGATACCAGGTCATGATGATGTCCCCTGTCAACTGCAGCCACAATACGAATTAAATCGAAGGTATCAGTTGGCTCGTCAGTTTCAAATTACCATTGAGTCTTTTGTAACATTTTAATAGGCAAATATTTGGAATGAAAATGTTTATTTGCACTTGATAAACCTTAGCTTACAATGTTATTATTTTATATATAAACACAAACACAAAGCCTTGAAAAATACTCTTGTTATGGCTGTGTATAGAATCATTTAATGAGAACCTTTAAGTTTATATTTAATTAAGACTAAAACAATTATAATATATTCAGACATTTCTTTAAAATTTCCACATTTTTTCCAGCTTCTAGAAAAGCCAACGCACTGATGCCTAACAAATGAACGAGCCGCGAGGGCAAATGGTTTTTCCTGAGAAACAAAAAATAAAGGAGGGAAGCAGCCGCATCTGGTGTCCGGAAAAACAGCGTGAAAATTGGCTGCAGAATGAATGATTAAACCCTTCCGAAAGAAAGGGTTCAGCAGATGTTGTCTGCAACTTTTCCAGCTGTAATCAGCTGCCGCCTTCTCCATGGGTTTAGCGGAGTGTATAAATAGCTCTCGCCTGCCCGACAAATTAAAGGTAAACTAATTGAATTTTCATAGAGCGGTAAGGACTTCGTCACTTTTTGATTAAGAAAATTTATTGCGAGTCTGGCGGAGCTCCCCGCGCCGTAATTCTGGTCTGGTTTTGCGGTTTTGCAGCAGCAAATTGCCATAAAGATGCTTTTAATTGCTACAAATGTACATTCTGCCAGCAGCAAGCTCCGGATCTTCCTGGGTCTGCCTTTCATTTCCGCATGCTTTCCTTCGCTTTTCCCGGCTTAATCAGCCTTGGAGGCAAATATATATACATATATACATAAAACTGCTGCCAACTTCCCTGGAGTACCACAGAGAAAGTGGTGGCGGTGCCCCTGAGTTATAGTTGCGGCGATTTGTTGTTCTTCAGTCCCAGTTGATTTAAAATCTAATGAGCTGAGTGGTATTTAAATGGGATAGAGCAATAATCCCCAAGACGCAGCCACAAAGATGTTTTACAGTAATTGTTAAAAATAAATAATAAAGCAAGCCATTAAAAGGGGGCTTTTGATTTTTACTTGGTAAGAAAGATGCTCCAAAGAATTATTACTCATACGCAACGAGGGACCTTTAGGCTTAAAGGAAACTTTGGCACACAGAATTGGAACACCTAAGATAATTACTATTTTTATATATTTAAATTTAATTTTAATTTACTTTAAAGAAAGAAAAAGCTCTTTAATTTAAGTTTAATGTTTTCAGTCATAACATTATTACTCATACGCAGTGTTGCACATATATAATGCAGTTATTTATTAACCTGATAAAAACTAACTTGGGAATGCTATCCGAATCAAAATTAATGCATTTTTTGCATTTTTAAACTTTGCTTTGTCGAATAAAAATATCAACTAATATCGATTCGAAATTGTGAATATTTCATGGTTAGTTATTATTTATATTCGATATTATTGTATTGCAATCTCTAAGGGCATATAAACTTCTTTTTTCCTTGTTTTGTTTACTTTAATATACAATAAAAAAAAATTAAATAAATAATAGCATCAACAAACTAAACCCTATATTTTCTTATTTATGTATTCTTTTTTAATGGTATAAAGTTAGATCCCCAAAATGATTCTTAAACCAAAAGAAAATTTCTGCAAAGATTTCCCAAAGAATATGTCATAAATATTTATCCTAACATAAAAGACTCACACATCGAACTTCATATTGAGCCCCTGGCCAGGACTTAACGCAGATCCTCTGGCGACGGCCCAATTCAATCAAATCCTTTACCCCGGCAACAAGGGGAAAATCTCAGCTTTCCTGCGCCGCTCTCAACACTTCAGCTGCGGCGGAACTCCTCATCGCCCCGTTTTAAATCCAATCAATTGCTTTAAAATAAACCCTTGAACAAAATCAAAAGCAAAACCGTAACAACGGCAGTCGTCGCTGAATGCTTTTCGTATTATCTCAAATGACAACACAGAGCGGCGTGAAAAAAAGAGGAAAACCGAAAGGAAATCGTACAATTGGAAGACAAAGGCAAACAGTGTAAAAAAAGCGAAGGCAAGTGCTGTGCCAAGCACAATGCAAAACAGTAAAAAAGAACGACAGAAAAAACTGGAAACTGAAAACCAGCAAATCTGTTAAGAAAAACCATTTAAATGGGAGACACAACACGGGTGGGTACAATGCGAATGTGGTTTTCCCCCCACAGCCCACGCAGGTGCCAAGGAGAAAGGGCCTAGACTACTTGTGGTCAAGTACGAAGCATGACCAGAATGAGAACAGGATTTGGCAGGCTCTTCAGGAGTAGCTCCCAGTTCCCAGGACAATAATGCGAACGTGAAGGTCATAATTAAAGCCATAATCCTAAGTGGGAAATCAACTAATTCAACGAACTTTTAGCCGTTTTTTTTTATTAATGGAGCGGAGTATAAAATGCTTATTATCTCTGTGAGTGATTAGGCTTAGAAATAAAACGTTTTTTTACAGTAGAGATAGAGCTCATAATTAGTTTCACTTGAATACTTGAATGGGATTCAAAAATAGGAAATTTTTATTGAAAATTTTTGCTATTTTATCTCACAATAATTTAAATATTATAAGTGGGAACAAATTATTTAAATTTTTATTTTGTATTCATGAAAATTTGTAATGAATATAATAGAAAACCAAGCAACAAACATGCTAAATAAATATATTTCAATAACTGACTCTGTTTTATTTGAATAAATTCAATAAACTCACAAGGCTCAACATTTCTTAACTTTTCATCTTAGCACACAAATTTTCACAAGGATTTCTTCGAACTCACTTTTTCTGATATCCGGCTGAGCTCCCATAAATTGATCCCTGCCTTAAATAACTTGTACTCGTTGGTCAAAATTTATTTTATGCTAATGATAAAATATCCCCGAGTCAGCTACGATACATTTATGAAATGAAAGGCGGATCCGCCTCTTGGTAAATAACACATCATTTTTGAAAGATATACTCGTAAAAAAAAGTGAAGAAAATCCAGTGGCTATCCCTTTGGTTTTGCTCCGCAAAAAGGTAAACAAGTTTTATTCCCCCCTCAAATGCTGACTAACCAGCTTTGGATTTCCATATGAAAGGGATAGCCCTGTGAAGGATTTTATGCCTTTGAAAAGGATTGCTTTTGGGAACATCAAGTGTGCTACCCCACACATCCTTAAGCAAGTGCGTAAGTGTATAAAATATTCACACATAATGTTGCAAAATTTATATTCCTGACGTCCTTTGTAATGTCAGCCTCAGCTGCGGTTCACATTTTGATAGTCAATATTGAATATTTATTTATTGTTATTTGAAAACATACCAAGCGCTGCAAAATATTCATGTTTTAATGTATGTGTGTTGCGGGGAAGATTGAAGTTCAATTGAAAGGTTTGTTGCTGGAAAATTGACTTACAAGGGAAACCTGTCTGAATAATGAATAAGTTCATCAAAGGAGAGCGCGATGCATTTATTAATGATTTGAAGCACCATTATAATAGCTTTTTTATCCAAACATTAGATAAGTAGTTCGAGAAAGAGCCTCTCTTTGCGGCCGGATGACTTTCAATGGCTTACTGCATTACACAAATGGCCAGGCCGAAACGTCAGCAAACATTATAATTTTTCTAATAACAAAATGGAGAAAACTGGCGTAGCTTGGCCTGGCCTTGGGGCGACCGGAAAGATGGGACGACGACTTGTCAACCGTTTGACATCGGCAGATGCGACAGCGCCACCGGAAGTTGGCATCCTCCTGCCATCCCTGCCTGGGGAAAAGTTTCTCCTCGACGGGAGTCAATTTTGATGTTATTTTTACTGCTAATTGTTTTTCGATTTATGTCGCACAAATTGTGTTATGGAAAGTATTTTGCAGCTTTTCCTGCTAAAGAGTTGATTGCCATAACTCTAGCGACCTTTAATTACTTAATGGTTGTATCGAGTTTCAAAATGATCTAGCTCAAGTTTTTTTTGTTTGAAGGGTTTTATTAAAGATTAATTTCCATTAATTATTTGCAATTTTGAATAGGCACTCAAGTGATTTATTTAATTGCAAGTTAACTTCATTGTGAAGTCTCTGTGACATTAATCAAATCTCTGCTGGGATTAGGAGTAGGCTTCATCCATCGACTTGACTGATTATTGTGGTTCGTTAATTACTCAATAATTTTAGGGTTGAATACTTTTTGTTTATCGTCAAATGATTTCCATTTAAAATTTCAAATAAATCATAGCCTACAATTACTGAGAAGTTTATAGAAATGAATTAATTTGTGATGTAAATTACTCGGAGTCTTTTTAACTTCACAACTTTTTTTTCAAAACCTTCCAGTAAACATTTCGTTTCTTGGTGATTAACTAAAAGAAGGTAAGCGTATTTGAATCATTTCCAAATGATTTTCTTTGTTGGGTCGATTTGCTTAAGGTGTGTGTCAGTTTTTAAATTATATTATTAAATAAGCACTACTTTTTTCACACTTACACTTTATCGAGAAAATTTTTACATGACAATTTTGTGCACAAAAAAAGTTTAAAATTCCATAACTAAGTCAAAAATGCTTTAATTTTAAATCGGAATGCTTTCCTATGTTAGGTTTTATCTGGTTGAAAAAGCTGCATACTCTATTTAAATTTTTTAAAAATTTATTTTTTTGTATATTTTTGACAATTTTAACGATGTAACCCCTTATCTTTTTTTGCAAAAATGAAAAAAATTTCCAAAAAATTTGTTTAGTCTGGACATTGCGAGTTCAATTCAGCTGTTAATTCTGATCAAGAATATATATGATTTAAAGGGTCGGAAATGCATTAATTTCAATTCGGAAATCATTCCCGTGTACGTTTTTATCAGGTTAATAAATCTGCATATTTGGTTTAAAATTTTAAAAATTCTATTTTTTGTCAAATTTAGAAACAAAAATTCAAATTTTTTTCAACCGGACATGGCTAGATAAACTCGGCTGTTTATGCTGATCAAGAATATATATAATTTATAGGGTCGGAAATGACTCCTTCACAACTTTACAAGTCTTTGACTAAAATTATAATACCTTCCAATTATACCTTTTAGTTGCTACTTCGATTTAAAAAACTAAAAGAATTCAGTTCGTTGCTTATATTAAAGGTATCCAAATTATTTTATAGTAAATTCAACTGAACTCCACCTTTCTGTGCTCAATTTGATTATTTAAATAAATTACAAGTTTATTAAATCCAAGACCGTTTTCCCACACACACACACCTCAATAGTTATATTTCCGTATACAACTTTAGTTAAAGCCACTTCACTCACAAATGGTTCAAAGATTTATTTGATTTTCTATCTGCTTTTTATAATCTTGGTTTAGTCCGTTCAATTTCTGGGTTTTAGGCGATCCATGGAACTCGAATGCCGCGCGTTGACTGGAGCTAAGGCCGCAACGCAGCATCCTTAAATAGCGGCTGAACCTCGGTCCAGCATCCGGTAGGCGTTGCTGAAAAGCTCACCAACAAGCTCCAACTGGATTGTGTCCTGGATAAAGCTCCATCCTGAGCAAGGACGTCCTTCTGCTGAAAGTGAAATTTCGCCCAGAGACCAAATTAAACACCAGTTGCATTCCTTTTATTATGTATTTGTTTACGTTTTTAAAGCGGGATATTTGGATGCGGTCTCGCTTCTCATGCCTATGGGCTCTCGCAGGATTTTATTTATTTGCAAGATGGATTTGCTTTTAAAGACTTGAATTCTTTTCGATTACTTTGTTCCAACATTCAAGAAAACTAAAAATAATTTTAACAATTAAACTTAGCCTAGGAAGATACCTACTAATCCCTAAACATACATAATAAGAAGAGTTTAGTTTCTGGTCAAACTTCCTCTTTCTATCTCTCTCTCTATTTAGATTAAAAAAATAATAGAGAATTCATGATCTTAGCGCCAATTGCTAATGTTAAATCCCGACGACTTAAATTTTGTATACAGCTTGTTGCTTATTTAGTGACGAATTAAAATTGGAAGAGCTTACAAATGTCGCACAGAAGTCTGAAGGTGATTTCTCGGCTTCCCTTTTGGCTGATTGGATGTATGGTTGCTCATCCCTCGGGTTGTGGTCTCTCTGCCTTTGGTGTTCCACAGATGGTTATAAAGCGGCTCTGGATGATTGTTGCTGGCTCGTTCTCGTTGATTGACGATTGTTGTGGAAGCGATGTTTGTATATAGTTTATATACAGGTATACAATAGAGAGACAGAACATTAGTATAATCTTTTTTGGAAATAATTTAAATAAGACAACAAACATTAAGTCTAAATCTTACAACTAGTTTAAAAATGAAAATGAATGAAGGGGGGGGCGTATAAATGTACGATGAGTTGAGTAATAACCACACAACGAAACACAGCACACACAGCACTTGGGCTCTTGCAATTTCGTGTTGGCATCTGGTTTTATGTTTGTCTATAGGTTTTATATTATTTCATGTTAGTTTTGTGAGTGTTCGCGGTTTAGTGGAGTTCTTGTTATTGAGGGTCTTGTTGTGGCGATTTCACTGGCGGTCTGGACATTGATTCATTGAGGGTGTTTTCTGGTTGTGGGTAAGGTTTTTTTGATTGATTTTAAACGAGTATTTTGGGTGTCTTGCAGGCATCTCCTATGTAGATATAGGACTTTGATTATGGGCTGCCGATTTTCTAAAGAAGAGGTTAAAAGACGAAAGTATTCTGCATCAATCATTCCAACTAGTAGAACAGATATTATTGAAGATCCTTTTTTGTCCACAATACTGGTAGCTGTAGTGTAGTATCCTTTAATCCGTATTCCAATTGATCCTTGTTATAAATCCAGCAGTTAAAATAATTAAAGTTGATTTAAATGTAGTTTTTGGCCGTGTTTTACTTTCGCAGAGCATGCTGATCCTTGCGAAGCACCGAAGACAGGTCCTGTAGTAGCGAATAATTTATAGGGAGGGGAAAATCGACTGCTTGAAAATATTCACTCCCTAACTAACTAACGCATAGAATTCGCGACCACTAAAATAACCTATAAGAATATATGTACAATTTGGTTAAAAAGGGGGACAGGCAATATCCACGGTATTCCGCCATATAGATAGCTAGCAACGTGAGGTATAAAATCAAATTGTTTGCAGCTGATCTGCTTGGTGTGAAAGTCACACATCAAATGGCAATGGCAGCGGCATTTTTACAATCGACTTGCGCGCCATTTGCGACATAAGGCAAACTGAATGTGTCGAGCCACTCTTTGCATTTTTCTGAACTATCAAAAGCCAGGATATTGGCAATATAATCAACGCTAATGTTGGGACGATAGCTGTAAGAGATAAGTACATTAACAAAAATTATCACAGAGAATTAAGGTTTCAACTTACGATTTAATAATGACTCGCAGAGCAGTCTTGCGCTCTCGTTCGAGGAACCACTCAATCATATGGCCCGACATGAGCGGCGCCGACTTGTAAAGGGAAAACAGTTTACAGTAGTTGCCCAACGACCAAGCCGAACGGAACTCTAAGGCGTGGGCAATGACTGGGGTCACGCGCTGATCAGCCGTAATCGAACGCAGGACAGTTGTTATGTCTGCAAGTAGAGGAGAGGTTTTGTCTTGTTTAGTTTCGAATTAGAAATGGCAGCGCAAGAGCCAACTTACCCAAGGTATTCTTTGTAAATATATAGTATAGTATGCGATAGGCGGTAAACTCCAAGGAATTGGCACTCTGGCCCCCGAGCTCAGCGTAGAGCATCTTCAATTGCGTCTGGCATTGGTTGAACTCCTCATGGTCGCCCTTCTCCATGGCAATGCGGGCATGCGTCTCGTACACCTCCACTGTAAACTGATCGCGAATACCTTGGACCTAAGTAACAATAATACAAAGTTTGCATTCAGAATATTTTGTCGAGATAATGTTTGCACTTACAGTCAAATCCTGCCTGATGGACTTAAGCTGATCACACGCGTAGTGATAATCATGATTGACACGCCATTTGCTCTTCACGTTGGCCAACGAATGGGTCAGCACCTCGACTGGCCGCACTTCCGACGGCGACGGCGCCTTGGTCAGGCGAAGGAAAGACTTTTCTAATTCCCTACAAGAACCTACAATATGCAAATCGAGAAGATCTAAGTTGCCCGTGTCCTCGTAGAAGGCAGAGCGATGTTGCTGCTGCTGCTGTTGCTGCTGCTGCATCATCTTCTTCTTATTCTTGGCCGTGGTGAGACCAAACGGTGAGCTTGCAATGGCGACGACAGATTTCTTTGCCGAGCCGGAGCCCTGCTGTGAGAAACGTGCCGCCCGCTGTTGCAAGCGCGCTGTGTCATCATCAACGGCTCCGCCCACGGACGATTGATTGGAGTAAAAGTGTGGTGGCTTCTTTTTCGCCTGACCACCGGCGGCCGCTGCTGCTGCGGCGGCGGCAGCCCGCTTCCCCTTCTTCATCAGAATTTTTTGCTGCTTTCGCGAGAGATTGGCGGTCAATGGTATGAAATTCAAGGAATCATTTGAGCCCGATTTGCGAATAACCTTACGCGTCGGAGGACTGCTGGCATCACTGCTGCGGGAACGCGACCGAGAGCGGGAGCGTGGGGAGCGGGAACGCGAACGAGACCGGGAACGCGAATACCGCTGCTTCTTATTCGAGTATTTCGAGGAACTCAACGAAGATGCCGGCGAACTGCAAAGAAATAACAGGTTTATCTATCAAATCCAGTTTTTCAACGGGGATTGGGTAACTTACCGCGAACGACTCCTGGAGTACCTGGACGACGACGAGCGGCGGTTGTTTGAACCGTAGTTAGATGCGGCTTTGTTGAATTGATTTCCGCCTTTTTGCTTGAAAGCATTCACAATACCCGAGGAGCCCTTGCTGCCTGTCGGCGGTGTCTTTTCCTGCTGCTGCTCGCGATGATCACGGTCCCTCTCCTGCTGTTCCATCTTCTTTTGGAAGTAGTTGCTACGCTGCGGCTGCGACGGCGCAACATTGCTTAGCACCACATCGATGCCATCCCGCTCGCTGTGCACCGTCGGCATCACCTCGTTGTCCCAGTCCCGCGTCCACAGTTCATTTCGATTGGCAGCGGCTATAATCTTGCCCTTGAGACAAATGTCAATCTGATCCTTGTCAAGGTCCGTGTTGCACTTGGAGTAGCAACGGGCCACATACTGGTTAAGGGAATCGGGCCACGAGTCGTTGGTGGCCATTTGCAAGGTGCTGGGACGCTTAAATGTGGATCCGGATGCAGATGCAGCTGGGGCTTGGGGAGCCACGGATTGATGTGGCTGCTGCTGCTGATGCTGGGGAGGATGTGACTGAGGTGGCTCAGTGGGCGCAACTATGGACAGCGGCAGTGGCGGCGGCGGCTTGCTCAAGTCGGGCGTGACCAGCACGCCTACATCGGTGGCGCTAATGATGGGCGGTGGTGGAGCTATGGGTGTGGTGTGATTGGTAAATGGATTGCTATATGCTGTTTGCTCATAGCTCTTGTTTATCTTGTTGTTATTACGCTTGCGCTTCTTTTGTTGTTGTTGTTGTTGTTGTTGTACATTTGCTGGGTCTGTTGTTGGTGCTGCTGCTGCTGCTGTTGTTGGTGTATTTGTTGGTTGTGCTGCTGTTGGAGCTGCTGCTGTTGATGTTGCTGTTGCTGTTGCAGGGGGTTGGGCGCATTGGCCAAACGCTTTTGATTTAAATTCAAATTAAATCGTATTCCCCCGAAATTCTTTTGCTGCTGCTGCTGCTGTTGCTGCTGCTTGTTCATGTTGCTGCCAGCGAGCTGGCCGCCTTTGGGCGGAGGCGGTGGCGGCGGACCTGTAGGCAATGGTGGCGGGGCAGCCAGCGCATTGCTGAAGCCTGGCGGCGCATTAGACGCACTCACAGTCGAGGTTACCTGCTGCTGCTGTTGCTGCTGGTAGCGCATGCAGTATTGGTAGTACTGCTGATATTGTTGCTGGTAGGCGGCAGCATTTTGGTTGGCATACCAGTAGTTCCATTGCTGGGCCAGGGCTGCGGAATTACCACCCTGCTGCTGCTGCTGCTGCTGTTGTTGTTGTTGCTGCTGCTGCATTTCTTGCAGCTGCGGTATAAGAGGCGGCGGTGCACTCATTGCATCGGACATGCTACCACTTCCTCACTCTCTCTCACTCGCTTTGTTTTGTGTTTTTTGTTTACTTTCTGTTACCTGAACTTACCTTTGTTTTTGTTTTCAATTGCGTTTCTGCTAATTCTTCGCTCTGTCGCCCTAAAATTACACATGCAGAGTAGAAAAAATGTGCGTTCATTAATTCCCTGTTCTGGGTGCACCTCATGTGTCGATGTGTGTGTATGTGCTGGCATGTGACGCCATTTTCTTTTTCCGTACCTATTTGTGGCCTCCGAGACGAACTCGCTTCAGTTTTCCTTTTGATTAACTCTTTTGACGCTGAATAACTATTAACGGCATTCACGTAACTGCTTGCGCACGAATTCACACGGGGAAAATATGTTGGCAAACTTTTATTACGAAAAAAAAACACCCAGAACACGTCTGAACAAAATGAAATTAAGTTTTTTTCTCATACGACAGTGCTGGAAAACTTCAGAAACAAACAAGCTCGAACTGGCAAGTGCTGCCAGCTTAGCTATGAAATACGAAAAGCTTTTGAAGTTTGCAACTAGCTTATAGCACCTAGCACTTTTGCTTTTTTCGCTTTATTTCGAAATTTTAAACGTGAAAACGTGACAAATTTGGGATCGCAAGAGCAACAAATCAACTTATTTGTATTTCAAAGATACAAAAATCCCAAAGATACAAAAGTATCTATCGGATCGAGAAGTTGGCATATTTTTGGTATATTTTCAGAGGAGAAGGTGGTATAAATAGTATTTTTGTGACGGTGTAATCTATCGATAATTTTGCGGCCACACTGAAACTATCTTATCACAAAATTTTTTGTGGTGTACGTTCGTGGTCTCGTGGTTGTCTCTGTTCCTCTGCGTTTCGCATACACTCTATAACTCAAGCTCATCCAAAGTAAGTATAGCTTGCTTAAGACAGCCCCCGCCCGCCGACCGCCGCCAGGAGACCCCCTGAAATCTTCCGAAAACGGGGTAATTTGGATTTTGCAGTGCTAGTGATTTCATAACCTCGAAACGAAAAAAAATTGCAAGTACACACGCGCATGAACGCTAAAGGGCCGCTGGCTCAGCTCGGTGACGAAAAAGACTAAATGATTATCAAGCCGATTGGGGGAGTGTTCGAAACTATAATTAATTGATAAAAACTCGGTGAATATACTGCCGGCCATCGAATATACACTCACATCCGCACACGCACACCAACGCAGGTACAGTTCATTGGCAGCTGCCGGCAAATGGAAAGCAAGAGAAAAAAAATGAAAAAAGTGCCTGGCGAAAATGTCTGATGTTACGTAACACGAATCGCTCTCGTTTAAATTGTTTTGATCAATTCTGCTCGTTATCACGTTATTGCTTTCTTGCTCTGCAAACATCAATATACTCTTCACCCGTTCTTTATCGCCGTTTGTTGTTTGCGGTCATGTGAGGTGTGTGGGAGGTTGGCTTAGTTGCACCTTTGTTAGTTATAGGTGGTAGTTTTAGCAGTGACGTCACCGGAAAATCAATACCCTTTTTTGCGTGTGACACCTTTTTGTGTTCTGTTTGGGCTGTTAATCGATTTCCCCAATGGTGTTATGCAACTGGCGAAAATTTTCTACCCCTTCTCCGCCTGCTTGTCAAGGTCATCAGGAGATTCATTTTCATTTGGACCGGAAAATAATATCCATTCGGCGATGATCACAGGTTACATCACCTGACATCGTGTTCTGGGCCTCTTCTTTGTTATTGGCCATTTCCCTGTATTTTTGGCTGTTGGCCATAATGACTTGTGTGTCTGCCTGCCCTGCTGCTCGGCGCTTTTCATAATTTTCCGCCTTGGAACGGCGTGCGCTAGGCATAGGACCATGTTCAATATTCGCAGCACGACTGTTTCCCGCATTCCTGACGTCACACGGAAATAGAAACGAAGACGAAGCTAGACCAAAGCGGAGGCTGTAAATGTGCAGTTAGCTTCTGTGTCAATGATCGCTTCACTGCCTAGCAAGACTGACCAGCAATTAATGCCAGCACAAGTACGGAACGTAAACAGACGGTGGGGAGGGGGAGGCCTATGGACTGGGCACTATCGTGGCCATAAAAGATATGAAATAGTTACAGTCATGGAAGTGACAGGCAACTTGAAGCGGGAATTAGATGCAAAAACACTAATCTAGAAGGAAATCATCGGTCACAATAAAAACTCTTAATTTCCACTTGGTAAAAAATTAAACAACATAAAAATCTTTCTGTTTTAATAAACTTAATTAAATCAAATGTTTAAAAATTATTGTAATACAAAATTTGTTGTTAACATTATTAAAACTTAGATCCGTTTTCCGAATTAAAAACAAAGCATTTTTGGCTTAGTTATGATAGATTTTAAATTTGGCTCCTGATCCAAGGATATATAACCTTCACCTTCCCGAATTTATCTTTCTTAATTATTTTAAATAAAATCTTAAGGAAATATTCCCCAAAAAGTATCTTTTTAAATGTAATATATAGAAACTTGAATTTACAAAATGCAAAATTATATTTTGTATCTGAAAGATATCAAATTCTGACACTAGTGATCATAGTAGCAATATGAAGAACGTCAATCTAATTTACGCTTTCTTGAAACACTTAACCTAAAAATACAAAGATACTTATTATTTCAAATCTGGACTAGAAATATTTGTGTAAAATGGTAGAGACAGAAGATTACGTTCCTCGAGAGTGGACATATAGTATGTTAAAGGAGGAGCTGCGACGGAGCTGTCAAAATGTCGTGGTAAATGTCAGGGTTTGTGAAATGGAGAGGCGCCTTGCCACGAACTCGGACGTAGTTCAGTCGTCTCTGCTTCTATTTTTCCCCCACTTTTCCGCTTCACTTTCTCTTGGCCCAGACGCGTGCAATGACCCCCTCGCCGAATCATTGGCGACTTTTCCGCACCGCGGCTGGCAACTCTGGCCTGTTCAAGGCAGACACACACTAATTTAAATTGATTTATTTACTCTCGCTGCAAGAAATTGACATTTAGCCAAAAGTGAACAAAGAATATGGCCCCTGAAAATCGTTTCCCTGTTCAGTTTTCACTTCTCCTCGGCGGCCAATAGATCACTGCGATATCGGTAATACGAAAAATGTAAATAATCATTATGTTGCTGATAAGATTGGAAGCCTAAACCACCATGCCTCATATATGTTATCTATTCATTCGCGCAATAATCGACCTGGCGAGCGAAATGATTTCGCAATAAGTAGTCCCATCATTCACATGTATCGATTATTCACAAACTAATTTACGACGCGTTCTATTCGTTTCCAGATGGCTCCTCCATCATACAGCGATTTGGGCAAGCAGGCTCGCGACATCTTCAGCAAAGGCTACAACTTTGGCCTGTGGAAGCTCGATCTGAAGACCAAGACCTCGTCGGGCATCGAGTTCAACACAGCCGGACACTCCAACCAGGAGTCGGGCAAGGTCTTCGGTTCCCTGGAGACCAAGTACAAGGTCAAGGACTATGGCCTGACCCTCACTGAGAAGTGGAACACGGACAACACTCTGTTCACCGAGGTCGCTGTCCAGGATCAGCTGCTCGAGGGTCTGAAGCTCTCCCTGGAGGGTAACTTTGCCCCCCAGTCTGGGTAAATGTCTAACTATATAATTAGCTATTAGATGAATGGTTTTATTTATTTATTTCTTACCAACTAACAGAAACAAGAGCGGCAAGTTCAAGGTGGCCTATGGCCATGAGAACGTCAAGGCTGATTCCGATGTCAACATTGATCTGAAGGGCCCCTTGATCAACGCCTCTGCCGTGCTGGGCTACCAGGGATGGTTGGCCGGCTACCAGAGCGCCTTTGACACACAGCAGTCCAAGCTGACCACCAACAACTTCGCCCTTGGCTATGCCACCAAGGACTTTGTCTTGCACACAGCTGTGTAAGTATTAACTACGACATGTTGGACCTCGATGGGTCTGTATTAATCGGTGTTTCCATCAATCAATTAGCAACGATGGCCAGGAGTTCAGCGGCTCCATCTTCCAGCGCACTTCGGACAAGCTGGATGTGGGTGTGCAGCTGTCGTGGGCCAGCGGCACCAGCAACACCAAGTTCGCCATCGGCGCCAAATATCAGCTGGACGATGATGCCAGCGTGCGCGCCAAGGTGAACAACGCTAGCCAGGTTGGATTGGGCTACCAGCAGAAGCTGCGCGATGGCATCACTCTGACCTTGTCCACGCTGGTCGATGGCAAGAACTTCAATGCCGGCGGCCACAAGATCGGTGTTGGTCTGGAGCTGGAGGCCTAAGTCGATGCTTTCCCGCGCCAGTCGAGGAATCTTTGAACTTGTCTAACATCCCCACACGCCCAACAACAACAACAGCAGAAACAGCAATAGCAAAAGTGCAGTAACAACAAGAACAACAAATAAAAGTGAAAAGATATTCTATAAACTAAAAAACAATCACACAGTCAAACTATAATGAGAATCTTCACATCTTAACGAGTAGACCCAGACCCTGCCGCCCGAATTTGCAGAGAACACCGGAGACACTGCCAACAAAATGATGCAAGGGGAATGGGGGTGGATCTACCACAACGGGTCAGTCAGTCCGCAGTCCACAGTCCGTCGCCGTTGGATGTAGCTTTGTTTAGTGCATTGAAAATTAGCAAATTTTGTTGTTGGCAAAATACTACAAATACATTTACCTATTAAACAAAACTAAAGAATCTAATATTGTGTTGCTGAAATGGAACTGCATTTGTATAATTTAGTTGCTTCCTTTTAGGGCTTGCCCCACATCTTCGTTTGGTGGCCAGATCGAAGCACACAATTCACAAACACACCACAATCATTATTAATCCTTTAACTTTTCGTTGTGCATTTACATGAAAAATAAATCGAAAAGAAGAAATTCGAACGATGACAGCGTTTGGGTCAAGTGGGAATATATATCTTTCTAATTTAAGCCTTAGTATAAGTAGGATCCTTCTGTCTGAACCTGAAAACTAAATTCTATAAATAGGAACCCGTGCACTTACATTCGACATAGCTTTCACATAATTAACTTACACATCACACTGCCGTTCACCGAATTCAAAAACTATTTGGCAGAATTAGACAAAAATTTTCGGTGAATCGAGCCAGTTTGAAGTGTAGAAATTAAAAATTTTGGGTCAATATAAACCTTACCATCTGTTTATTCCGCTAACGATGGGTGAACAAAAAGTCCCCTCATATCCCGAACTGGGCAAGCTGGCCCGTGATCTGTTCAGGCGCGGCTATCATCCGGGAATCTGGCAGATTGAGACCAAGACCCTGACCAGTTCAGGCATTGAGCTCTTGTCCTCTGGCTTCGCCAACCACGATAACACCAAGGTTAATGGCATGCTGCAGAGCAAGTATAAGATGGAAGACCAGGGCCTGACACTCAGTGAGGGATGGAATACGGATAAATGGCTATTTGGCGAGATCATGCATAAGGACAAGTTGGCCGAGGGCTTGACGTTGGCCCTGGCGGGCAGGTACCAGCCGGCATTCAAGTGTGTTCCTCTTATATCTCTTCCTTGAATGTTTAACAATTCGTTTATTCACTTAATCAACAGCGAACTTGAAGGTAAATTCAAGGTGGGATTTGTCCAGGAAAAGTTCCACATTCTGGCTGATACGGGTCTACACTCGCAGCCTATTCTGAATGCATCGTTGGTGGTGGCCCAAGACGAGTTCCTTGGTGGCGTGGGATGCGAATTCGACATATCCAACGTCAATTTCAGCGGCTGGAAGGTGGCTCTGGGCTATGCTAAAGAACCGGCCACCGTTCATGCCGAACTGTAAGTGTGAATAAGGGTAGCATTATCGTATCTTACCTCTTTTGGTTTTAAATGATCTCTTAATTTCCCAGGCGGAACGGTGGTTCCTGGCTGGCTTCACTCTTCTACAAGGTGAATGATCAAATCGACGCGGCTGTCGAGATCGCCAGAGCAGCCATTCTTAGAACCGCTCGTAATGAAGAAAATCCCGAGGGTCAACAAGAAGAAGTTGAGGTGGGCGGAAATACGACCGTCAGTCTGGGCATGATCTATCACGTGGATGAGAACGCCCTCATCCGTGCCAAAGTCAACAGTGCGAAGGAGTTGGGCTTGGGCTACGAACAGAAATTCGGAGAGGGAATCACTGCTTCCATTTCGGCGGTCCTTGACTTTGGCAGCTTTTCGTCTGGTAACCACAGGTTTGGTGTGGGCGTGGCTCTGCAATGCTAACTTCGTTAATGGTTTCTAATTCCAAATTGGTTAATATTACAATAAAATATAAGTATAAAGGCAAACATAACATTCGCTTGTTTAAATCTCTTAATAAGACAAGAAAAAAACACAAATGTATAACACAATAGTTATACCATTCCTTTTATGGTTTATACCATAGAAAGTATATCTATTCTTGATCAGCTTTAACAGCCGACTCAAACGGTTCGATACCTTTTAGTCATTGAGTTTTAGAAAATATAACTTAGTACTGATTAGGTTTCTTGTCTACAAATTGAAATTGTAGTCTTTCTAAAATAAATTATTCTTTTTATTTTTTGCTACCAAATTTGTATGTATTTCTGGACCAAATCTCTTAAAGATGCAGAAATTCTTGGACCGGTTGCAGGACTTCTTCCGGTGCAACAGGTGGAAGAGTCAAGTAGCCGGGAAAAATGAAGGAGCTTGTTGCCAAGGGGAACCGTCAATGGAAAATCCGAGAGAAATACTTCCGCCGCCTGTGTTGGAGGGCGAGATGCCTACATACTTTCATGTGGGTGTTCTGGCGAAGTTGTCTCTCCTCGATGGCTACAATAACGGTGTGTGGAGGCTGCAGACCACCACGAGGACGGAGAACGATCTCTATCTGAGCGGCTTTGGCGGTGGCTATCCGTTGATAACCAACGCCTGTGGCGGCATGGAGGTGTTACAAGAGATGGGTCCCTACCATGCCTCCCTCTGCTGGCTAACTGATCAGGAGTTCCTGTCCGACGTCGGTGTACAAGGAGTGGCCTTTGGCGGGCAATGGATATCCGTCTGCAAGTTGGGAGCTGCCAACATGGCTGACGAGTACATTTGAGTTCCATTCTTCTAATACTTTAGCTTACGATAATTGTTTTCCAGATGGCAATTCACCGGCAAGTTGAAATGTGGTTTCGATCGCAATCCCGTAAAGGTGGAACTAGAAATACCCATTTACCGGCAACCCCTTTTCAAGGGCTACCTTATGTTGGCTCCAGCCAAACACTTCCTGTTGGGCTACCGAACGGTCTTTGACTTAGGGGTCAGGAAGTTCGGCATGCACGCCTTTTGCATGGGCTTTGATAACCAGACCACAGAAGTGGCCCTCAAGTTGTACGTGGTCCTCCGTTCAAATTTTCTGTTCACTTAACCGACCTACTATACTTTAGAGAGAATTTCAATCAGCTTCGAGGTTCGATCTTCCAACGCCTTGGTGAAAATTGGGCATTTGCCCTAAAGACGGACTTGTATGGCAACGTGGGTCAGAAGAACTTCCATATTGGGTGCCAGTACGAATGGGAACCGGGCTCTCTGATTAAGGCCAAAATTACGGGAGATGCTCGTTTGGGTTTCATCTACCAGCGGAAACTTAGCAAAGGCATTGAGGTTCTTTTTAACTGCTGCTTTGATGGAAAAGACCCACTCAATGGAGACATTAGGCTGGGCGCTGCGTGGTACTTTAATGTATAGACGATTTAAAATTTTGGTTTAAGTGGTCCAAAGTCTTTTTTAAATTCTGTTTCAACCATTTTGATAATAAATAAAACGTTAGGTCTTTCTTAAAACTAAATTCTATGAGTTTCACTTACCCTTAGTATAAGGATCTTGACAGGAGACTAGTTACCTGTTGTCAAATATACTTTCAAGCAGTCCAAATTCAAAATTTTTTTTAAATAAAATTTTCTTTTTTTTTTTCAATGTCAACGCCTATGTCAAAATTCCGTAACTTTTTCCGGATTCGCCGGCGGCGCCCTTCTTCGAAAAAGAGGGAGCCACCTAAGGAGGATAATAAGACTGAACCCGTCGAACAAGAATCTGAGACCCTAAAGATTAATCCAGTTGATCCGGAGGTAATACCAACTCCGCTAGAGGAAGGCCAGAAGGCGAGCTATTTCCATGTGGGCGGCTGTGCCAAGGAGTGTCTCCTGCAGGGATTCAAGCTTGGTGTTTGGCAGCTCATTTGCACCTCCATTACAAACAATGATTACCATCTGAGCACCTTTGGCGAAGCCTATCCGGAGGCAAGGGACGTCTTTGGGGGAGTTGAGGTGTTCAAGGAGATCGGCAACTTCACTTTGGCCCAGAGTTGGTTGACACCCCGTGAATTTCTGACGGAGCTTACGTTGAATTCCGGTTCCTCCTATGGCGCCATCCAGACGTCAATACTCACGAAGGACGAGTGAGTTCCGGCAACGAGGTTACTAGTTTCGGATATCATAATGCTTATGTTTTTTCCCCAGAGTCACATTCAAAGGCAAGCTAAAGTGCGGCTTTGAACTAAGTCCATTAAAAGTGGAACTGGTGGTGCCCTTTTATAAAGAGCCACATGTCATGGGTTACGTGGTAGCGGCGCCTGTGGAAAACTGTCTGGTTGGCTATCGCACAGTGTACAATCTCGAGGAGAGGGCCTTCGACATGCACGCCCTCTGCCTGGGCTATTACAATGGCAACACGGAGGTCGGACTCAAACTGTAGGTTTTCGTTGGTGCTGAAGAGGAGAGGGTAAATAATTATAATATAATTAACAATAATTATCTTGTAGGGAGAATTTTAAAAACTTGCGAGGCTCGATTTTTCAACGGATCAGCGAGAGCTGGGCCTTGGCCTTAAAAGCTAACCTGTACAGTTCGGAAAATCTCAAGCAAGTATCAGTCGGTGGACAGTACGACTTTGGGAATGGAACGCTGCTAAAGGTCAGGCTTAGAGAAGACTCGAGGATTGGGGTTGTCTATCAAGGGAAAGTAAGCGAAAACCTTCATGTTATGTATCATGTGGGTTTCGATTTGGCGGATCCGATCGGTGGAGCTCACAAGATGGGCGCTTCTTTGGAATTTCAATGCTAGACCACCGATAACTTTGTGTCATTTTGTAATGTTGTGCTCCAGGTTGGATACATGTAAAAGTCACGTTGAAGTGCAATATTATATGGGAGAGCACAATAGCTTAATTGCGGAATCCAGTTGCCAGTACAATTTCAACAAAACTGATGACAATAAATAAATTTTGTTGTGTTTCACAAAAGAACGTTTTTATCCACTTGCAGGGTAATATAATTTTAGTCGGAAGCTTGTAATCTGTGAAGGAGTCATTTCCGACCCCATAAATCATATATATTCTTGATCAGCATCAACAGCTGAATCGACCTAGCTATGTCCGGAGGAAATAACATTTTAACATTTTTTCGATTTTTGCAAAAAAAGATAGGGTTACATCATTAAAATTGTCAAAAATCGAAAAAAAATTTGATTTTAAATTGAGTATGCAGTTTTGTTGCCCTAATAAAAAGTAGAATAGAAAAGGTTTCCGAATTTTAATTAATGCACTTACTTTTGGCCGAGTTATGAGTTTCTTAAAATTTAATTTATAGACAAAATAATCATATAAATTAAAGATTAATATCCACTCAAAGAAAGGTATTATAAGTTTAGTTATCATTCTTGTTTTTGTTTCTTCTGAGGAAGAATTCTTATTGAAAATAAAATCTCGATAATAGATTAATCTCATATGCTTCCAGCACAACTACCACCACTAGCCACTATTTTTCAAAATAAAAAACTACTTTCCCGCGAAACAGTTCTATTAATAATTCTATTAAATCGATGAGATCCATTTCGATGAGAGAGCTTTTTGTGCCCGTGGTGAATGCTGAAAGTTTCTTTTATGCCTTTTGTTTACTTTTAATTATCAAGGGTTTTAAACATTTTTTTCTCGTTTTAAAAATACGTGTTGTAACGGTCAAAATAAATACTGTGGTGCCATAGAAAGTAGTTAATTAACTCAATCACTACTTGACAGCAATTGATTTTTTTAGGTACACATGGACCTATTTTAAGAACTCCCAGCAGCCGCTCCACCCGACCGCATCCCATGGCATCAGAGCATCAGTCGGTGTAATGTGCATTGCGAGTGTAGCGACAGCATGTTGAAGGCCCGTCTGGAGCAGGACGCCGTCTTCGGACGCTGCCTGGCCACCGCGTCGTCCGTGCGTCGCGGGGATCTGGTTCTGGAGGAGCTGCCCTTCGCTCGGGGCCCGAAACGGGACAGCGGCATCGTGTGCCTCGGTTGCTACCAGTTCCTGCAGTTCGGCGAGGATGGCGATTCCCTGGATCGCTGCGAGATCTGCGATTGGCCACTATGCGCATCGTGTGCCGGTGGGGATGACGCCACCGATCATAGCAACGAATGCGAGATCTTCTCCGCCGCACGTGTCACTTTCGCCGGGAATGTGAGCGACGATGGCGTCTGTACGCAATTAGATTGCATAACACCATTGAGGTTAGTTCGTTGGGACTCCAGCGGGGAATCGGGGGCCGGACTACCTGTCAAAACATTGGTTTCTGGGAATATATTAGTTTTGGCAGAATGTGCGCATTTCTGGCAAAGGGGTTGGCGGACTGTGGGCAGGCAAATAACGAAAGATCAGGGGAGACGACGACCAAGGAGGCTGCAGAGGTGCGAGGAAGAAGATAGAAGGCGGAGGCAATGCGGCTGCTGGCGTAGATCAAAAGACAACACTAAAGTGCAGGGAACAGTGGTGGGATTGGACATAGAATCCATTAAAATATACAATTTTATCTATTTCGTAGTAAATATAAATTACAAATACCTTTTATAAACCCTATACATAAAGACCTCAAGGGGCATTCTTAATTTTTGGCCATGATCTTAAACATTATCTTGTATTTGTAATTATTAAATTTACTTTACTATATGGAGAACACCGTTCAATATATATTTTAAAAAGTACAATTAATACCTTATGATTACTGCTATAATATGCAACGTATTTTATAGCACAAAATTTGCTAACAAAATTAAAAAACTTGTTCCGACTTTGCATTAAAAATACTCAATTATAAAAAGCTAATATGCCCTCTTAATTGCATGTACCTATTTCTTTATATTTATGTTCTATATACGTATTCCGTATATTTATTTAATCCATAGCATATTTGAATTAAAATTAAATGGAAATAGAACTTGAGAGCCTCAACAACCCAGGAGAAATATATATAATTGAGTAGGGTGGACCTATAATTTAATAACAAGTTTAATTAAATAATTCTATTTAATCTTATTTTTGTATTTTGATTATAGTGAAATTCTTTTACTAAATAAACACGTTTACTAAACTTTTCAACGAAAATTCGTCTAATGCCATGCATAAGAAAAATAAATTACGTATCGTGACCACTGTGCCCGTAAATATTAATGCTTGATGTCCGAGGCAGACCAAGATGTTGCTATCTAGCTAGATGGCAGATGCCATAAACTGTGGCCGTGCCAGTCAGCGAAATGAAATCGACGCCAACGCTGCCGGTGAATCGCACATCGGTGCAATGGAGTCCCGTCTGCGGACGCTATCTGGTGGCCCAGGGGCCGGTGGCAGGTCATGGTCTGCTGATCGAGGAGTTGCCATTTGCCCTGGGACCGAAGTGTAATGGACCTGTGGTTTGTCTGGGCTGCTACGAATCGGATCCTAACCTGTGCATCGAATGTGGTTGGCCGCTGTGCGAGGAGTGCTCCCGAATCCAGGATAATCATCATTCCAAACAGGAGTGCCGCGTATTCCAAGATGCTCGTGCTCGATTCTTTAACCTGCCCAAGGGGAGCAACCACTGTCCCCAGCTGGACTGCATTATGCCGCTAAGGTGAAGAACCCGGCGGCGAGCGGTACAGAAATAGACCCAGCCATCTGTAAATCTGGGGTGTCCACTGTGTAATCTTTAGATTAAAATCGCCTATCTGTCAAATCTCAAAATATTTAGTATAGAGTTAAAGACATTTTAAGTATTACACTTATAATTTTTTTATCTTGATAGGCTAATACCTTCATTTTGTAATTTCCATCCGTATTTCTGTGATTTCCAGGGTTCTTTTGGCCAAGGAGGCGAATCCGGCGAGATGGGAAAGCGAAGTGGCCCCCATGGAGCATCACGAGGAGGAACGTAAACAGGATGCAGATTTGTGGCATGCGGATCGCGTGAACATTGCTCAGTATTTGCGGGGTCCCTGCAAGCTGGCCTCTCGATTCAGCGAGGAGCTAATTATGCAGGTGGTGGGAGTCCTAGAGGTGAACGCCTTTGAGGCCAGAACTTCGAGGGGCTATCCATTGAGGTGTCTGTATCCGTACACTGGCATTCTGGCCCACAACTGTGTGCCGAACACATCGAGGAGCATCTATCCCAGCGAGGGGTTCAAGTAAGTATCTAGGAATTATCTCTATCTGCAAAGCATTCCAAGTAAATAATGAATATTCTATTCACAGAATTCGCCTGCGAGCTATGGTGGATCTGGAGGAAGGTCAGCCCCTGCATCACAGCTACACCTACACCTTGGATGGCTCCGCTCAGAGGCAAAACCATCTACGGCAGGGGAAGTACTTTGTCTGCCAATGCGATCGCTGCCTGGATCCCACCGAACTGGAGACGCACTTCTCCAGCCTGAAGTGCGGACAGTGTGCCGAGGGTTACCAAGTCCCCTGGCAGCCTACGGGTGAGAAGAACGTGCAAGTTAGCAATGTATCCAATTTATATACAAATATTTCCTCCACCAGACTCCGATACCAGTTGGAACTGCAGCACCTGTGGCGCTATCACAAGCAATCCGGAGGTTCAGGCAATGTTACAATCTCTGCAATCGGAGGTTAATACCGTCCAAGCCGTGGATATGGGCCCAAAGCGTCTGGAGGAGGCCGAACGTTTGCTGCGCAAGTACAAGTCCCTGCTGCATCCGATGCACTACATCGCCACGGGGTTAAGGCAGCTGCTTATCGAGATGTATGGACGGGTGCAGGGCTACGAAATGGTCCAGTTGCCAGATCACCAGCTGGAGCGCAAGGCACAACTATGTCGCGAGGTGCTGCAAGTGCTGAACTCCTTTGAACCTGGCCTGAGTCGCACACGCGCAATGAATCTGTACGAGATGCACGTTCCGCTGGTTCTGCTGGCCAAAAGCGGTTTCATAGCCAACAAACTGAAGGGTGGCGAGCTACGTGCCCGGCTTGTCGATGCCATCGATCTGCTGAAAGAGTGCGTGGAGATCCTGGAGTTCGAGGACCAAAGTTCACAGGAGGGCGTGCTCTGTGGAGTGGCCAAGCAGGCGCTGAAACAACTGAGCCTGAGTGTTGAGGGCCTGGGAAGTGAGCTCGATTGAACGTATTTACTTATGCATATCAGATAGCTTTATTGGAAAAACTGTTCAAGTGGGGCAATCTCTTTCGGATGGTGGTGGTGTTACATTGAATAACTCTTTAGTGCTTGAAGGTCCAAAAAGAACAATAAACTACAACTTAAAATCGATTACAATTATTACAAACTATTACTGCACACGGTTTTGATTTGGTATTAATACGCGTCTACTATTGGATCGTAAATCGTAAATGCTTACTTACACCCTAAGCTTGGTATGCAGTATTGAGATTTTCCCATGTCTCAAATCAGAATATTTTCGCTTAATCGGATACTGGTAAAAAATACCCCGGCTGGCCGAAGATCTATCCTTCTTATCGGCGTACAAAAATGCTCTACGTCTGCATGCAAATTCCCTATAAAATATCCAAGTTTCTTTTGAGTATGCTCTCCCAGCTCCTTTCTCCTCATCCCTGCTTCCTTTATATTTATAATTTCAAAATGATTATAAACTAAAGCATAAATTAAGTTGGAATCTGCACTATAATACACACAATACGCAATACGAATCGAGTTTTAAGGGCTGAGTAAAAAAAATGGAAATCACACTTTGTTTAAAAACTAAAAACATTCTTGCCGGGCTCCCTCCTCAGCAGGCACACAATAAACACAAGGACAACAGATAATAATAAATACTTCCGGACCCTAGACCTCGTGGCTCAGCAGCGGCGTGTCGTGGTAGCGGGAGGCGTGATTCAAGCTAGTGCAGGGCAGTAGCCATAGGCCCGGATGGCCGCGTCCAAAGACATCGGCCAAGAGCTGGTACTTGCGCCGGTTGGGTCGGTAGGTGCCCTTCTGCTGTATCGCTTCCACGGCCGTCTCGTCGTACAGAATAGCGTGTAGCTGGTCCACCATGATGGCTGTTACGAACAGGCCAAACAGAGCGGAGACCAGCAAGAGGATGACGGAATGAATCCTGGAAGGGGAAATGTATTCCCTTATTTGTAGTCACATATAGCCTCCCCACGACAGCAGCCGACAACGCACGTTGCATACAGATAAGTTAAACCCAAATAGGACTGTATATATACTCACATTCGAACCTGGGTCTCGATCACATTCTGGTTGCATTCATCGCAGGGCCACACCCACGAGGAGACAATCAGTCCAATGGAGTAAAGCGATAGCAGGGCCACGTATATGAGGAACTGCAGGAAGTACTTCTGGTTGCGCTCACCCACGCAGTTGTTGATCCATGGACAGTGATGATCCATGCGCCGAATGCAGCGTTTGCAGATGCGACAGTGGTGGGCTCGCGGCGGGCGGTATGTCTCACAACGGGTGCACACGGTCCATTCGCTGCTGTGGCCGTTGCCCGATGGATTGTTCTTGTTATTGGTGGTGTGCAGGTCGGAAAAGTCCAGACGATTAGCGGGCAGGGGCACGATTCCGGGATCAGAGAACACGGCCTTGGCATGCGACATGGCCAGCAGGAAGACCACGGTGTTAAAAAGCACCACATGGAAGGACATCCAGAGGCTAATGATGACAATGGAATACCGATCAATGGATGTGACTTGATAAGTGATTAGCGATTACTCACCTGCCCGGCATCGTGGTCAGTATGATCCAGCGGATGACCACATAGTCCGCGTACAAAACTGCGCCGTAGGTGACCACCAAGCAGGCGATGCCGCAGGGATCGCGTATGAAGACCATTGCTGTGACGTCCACTAGGTCTGCACTATCTTTTTTTAATTATTTGACTTTTCCTCCTCTCTTTTTAATTCAATTAGAAACCGAAGGGGCTGATTTCCGTCGCCCCTCCCCCAGCGACAAATCGAGGGGCGAAAAATAACAATTGTTGCTGTACTCCCTACGGCTTGTCTGGGGGCTCACGATCCGCTCCAGTGGGCTGCAGGCTTATTGCTGGTGGGGACGCGTCGGCTGCCGCACTATCCGCACTCGATATGTGTGAATAAAACGCAAATCAAGCGTTTCATTGACTTTTAGGGTTTATTTTACGCTTGGAAATTTCATTTATTTATTTAGTGTGACCGTTGCCCAGAAGGGCGTAAAAACCGCACTGTGCACTCTACACTGAAAATATTCCGCCATCAAGGGATTTCACTACATCATTATAAATTTAAAAATGTAATTAAGAAAATAATTTACTTTAACTGTTTTTATTAAAAATACACTCGTAATAATATAAAAAATCTGAAAAGTGTTACTGTCTCAGTTCTTGACCTGGTTTTCCTTGCCCCGCTGCTGCGCCTCGAGCTGACGGGCCCTCTCGGCCATTCCCTCCTTGACCCAAGGATGTGTCATCACGGCAACCAAGCCAATTCGGTTCTGGAGACGCAGCAGCTGTAAATTAAAAGCGACATACGTTAGTTACTGTATTATATTATAGTAAAGTTGCTCTTACCCCCGATATGAGCTCCTTGCTGCCCTTGGACAAATGCGAGGGATAGTGGATCTCCAGTCGCCGGATCTTATTGTAGGTGCTCTCCGTGCTGTTCGACTCGAAGGGCGCGCAGCCCACGAGGAACTCGTAGCAGAGGATACCGAGGCACCACTGATCCACCGAATCGTCGTAGGATGAGTTGTTTACCATCTCTGGTGGCAGATAATCAAGGGTTCCGCATAGAGTGCGTCGCTTGTTGTTGGGCGTGTGGGCCGACCATCCAAAGTCGGCTAGCTTTAGGTCGTCAGTGCTAGTCAGCAGAATGTTCTCCGGCTTCAGATCGCGATGAATAACATTATTCAGGTGGCAATAGTTCAGGGCATTGGCCACCTGGTATGTGTACTTTGCCGACCTCGGTTCGTCGAAGCGGTGATTGGGCGCAGAACGCAGATGCTTGTAGACCTCTCCGCCGGAGGCTATCTCAAGCGCCAGGTAAATGCGGCTCTCGTCGTGGAACCAGGTCAGCAGGCGCAAGATGTTGGGGTGCTTCAGACGTGACTGGATCTCGATCTCGCGCAGCACTTGCCGCTGCACGTTGCCCTTGCGCAGCTCCTCCTTGAACATAATCTTCATGGCCACCAAAAAGTGTGAGTGGCGCTCGCGGGCCAAGTAGACGCGCCCAAACTTGCCACGCCCCAAGTGGGCGCCCATCTCAAAGTCACGGGCAGTCCATTCGTACCTGTGTATGTGTGCAAATCAATGAATTCTGGTTACTTTACTTTTCAAAGCTCCTAAATACTTACGGTTTGCCGTAGGCGTCGTGAGACAACATCTTGAGGCACATTTTGTTGACCGGCTCCTGGTAATCCTCGGGCACATTGCTTAGCAGTTGCGGCAGGTGGGTGCGGTTGGCATGTTTTTGACGGGGCTGCGTCATGGCGCTATAATACCAACGGAAATATTGAGGAAAACAATAATATTATATATTTTTCGACGGCGTCCCTTTGATTTGCGCGTTTTTTTTCGAATGCTGATATTAGTGTGACCGACTGTCACTAATGACAAAATCAGCTGTTAACAGAAATTGACTTAGATCCAGGTGTCTAAAACAAATCTTCAAAAAATATATATGGTATACTAAGAAAACGAAACTGACCTATCGGTTTAAATTTTTTGCAAGACGACAACCCTATCCATAGGTCGAGCCCCTGGCGTTTCGCGTCAACCTACCAACTGGGCACACTCGCCATTAGTCATTTTTTTACACAATAAACGTAAATTTAGCGAATTTAAAATCGTTTTCCTGGCCCCTCTTAAGCTTTTCTTCAATCTTCGTTTGCCCACTAGCCGTTAAAATAACGCGCAAAAGGATATCGCAGGGAAAAACTGGAACGGAGACGTCTCTTTGTCGCCTAGACGCACCGAAAATCGATAGCCCGAGTAAAAACAAAAGGGAAATAATCTGGACAAAGTGCGAACGGGGGATTGGCTGGACTAGAGATTGGATAAACACCAACGCACCGCAGCTTGTTTGCAAATAGCGCAGCAGCATGGGTATCTTCGGGCAGTCGTCGCCTTTCGATGCCGACGTGGGTAAGTAATTTATTGATAGCGGCGTAGAAGAATGCGATGCATTTCCAATTGGAATGGATGGCTGGCTGCATTTCATAGTTTTCTATTCTTATCGGCGGACTTTTGCCCCCTTTTGCGCGTAGTTTCCTATCCATTCTTCGCTTCATCTAATTAACCAAACAGACAACAAAGGAAGTCATGTGAGAGGGATGCTGTGCGCAGCTGTGCCTTGCGTCCGTTGACCCTTCTTCTTGTTGGAGTTTTTCGGCTGGCAGTCGCTGACCTTGAGTGACGTAGCACCACCACCTCCCCCTCCCGTAATGCAATTTGTATTGATTTTTTTTATTGTTCCAATCAGCGCCTTATCTTCACTTTTCAATATGAGTCACCGCCAGCGATAAGCTAATTCCGTTCTTTGTGTTGTTCTAAACTCATAGAAAAGGCCACCAGCGAGACGAACACCAACGATGACTGGACACTGATCTTGGATGTGTGCGATAAAGTAACCACAAATCCGCGTTTGTCCAAGGATTGCCTGAAGGCGGTGATGCGGCGCATGGGCCACTCCGATCCGCACGTGGTGATGCAGGCCATTACGCTTCTGGACGCGCTGTCCAGCAACTGTGGCAAGCCTTTCCACCTGGAGGTTGCCTCTCGAGACTTTGAAACGGAGTTCCGCCGGCTGCTGGCCAAAGCGCAGCCGAAGGTTTCTCTGGTGAGTACCGAGTTCCATTATCCCGATCTGTAAATAACCCTTATTTCCTCATAGAAAATGCGGCAAGTCCTGAAGAACTGGGTTGAGAACGACTACAAAAACGATCGGGAGCTGGAACTGATACCCGCTCTCTACACCAAGCTGCGTATGGAGCGCTACGATTTTAGAAATTTGGGTGACGAGAGCAGCAAGTCTGTGGCCGAAAAGGCTGCCGCCTTGCCCAAGGATCCGAATGTGGTCAGCAGCCAGCAGGAAGAGGACGACATTGCCAAGGCCATCGAACTGTCTCTCAAGGAGAACAAGGGAAGTCCCAAGACTGGAAGTGGAGCTGTTACCAGCTCCAGCACCGCCAGTGCCTATCCCTCTTTGTATCCTTCATTCGGAGGAGGCAATGCCGTGGCATCCTCTGCGCCGAGCGATGCCACCAACGCCACTCCAGCACCGGAGCCAAGAAAGGTGCGGGCCCTGTACGACTTCGAGGCGGCGGAGGAGAACGAACTGACCTTCTTCTCGGGAGAGATTATCCATGTAATGGACGACAGCGATCCGAACTGGTGGAAGGGTTTCAATCAGCGCGGCGAGGGTCTCTTTCCCTCTAACTTTGTCACTGCCGATCTTTCCGTAGATCCCGAGCGCTTGGATATCAATCAGCAGCATAAGTCGGCCGCCGCTGCCGCCGGACAAAGGGAGTTGGATTCGGCTGCAGCTTTGCAGCTAAAGACTGAAGCGGCCGTCGCTGCTGCCGCCGCTCAGCCTGTGGAGATCGACGAGTCGAAAATCGATAGGCTTCTGCATCTGCTCCATGAGGCGAACCCCGAGGATCCGTCACAGGACAGCGACGAGATGCTGCGGCTGGAGCAGGAGGTCCATCAGATGGGTCCGTTGATAGACGCAGAGTTGGAACGCGTCGACCGCAAGCATGCCCAGCTGACTCAGTTGTCTAGCGACCTCGTGGATGCCATCAATCTATACCATACGCTGATGCGGGACGATCGAGCTGCGGCGGGACAGTTTGCGGCAGCAGCGGGTGGGTTTATGCCCGGAATGGCTCCTGGATTTCTGGGAGCAGCTCTCTACGGAGCACCTGGCTATCCCGCAGCTGGCGGTTTTCCTACGGCCCAAAACTACCCCGGCATGCATTCGCTACCATATGGTCCAGCTCCAGCGGCACCAGCTGGCCCGGGTGGAGCTTCAAGTGGTTATTTGGCACAGGGACAGGTGCCAATGCCGTATCAAAATGGACATGCCCCGCAGATGAATTGTAAGTAGTCTTAAAAACTATCTTTAATAAGATAATATAACACTCTCTTTTGAATACCCTTTCAGCTTTGCCACCCCACCTGGCCCAACCCTCAGCTGCTGCACCCGTGCCCCAGCCCCTCTATAATGCCCAGCCCACGGCCGTGCCCAATACACAACAGCAGCTGCCACAGCAGCATCCCCAGCAGCCACCGCAACCGCATCCTCAACAGCATCCACAACAGCCACCGCAACAGCATCCCCAGCAGCCTAGCTATCACATGGATCCGCAGACACAGTTCCCACAAGCTCCACCCGCAATGCAACAGCCGCAGCAACAGCAGCAGCCGGCAGCGCCCCATGTCTACATGTCGCCGCAGCATCAACAGCCACCGCCGCCTCCGCAGGGATACCAGCCTGGACCAAATTTGTATGCGGCCAACGGATCGTCTACCGTCAATCCACAGAGCTACATGTCTCCGCAGCAGCAGCAGCAGCAGCATCCACCACCACATGATCAGTTTAGTCAGCTTCACCAGCAGATGGCCGCCATGTCCATGGCTGGGGGTCCGCCCGTTGGGCCAGCTCCCGGCGGCTATCACATGCAGAACGATGCCGTCAAAAACAACATTCCTATTTACCAGCAGCAGCGGTAAAACTGCAGCAATAAAAATCAAGCCCTTCACTTGGTGTTAGCCCAAAAAAAAAAAAAAACGAAACCTTCAGTCAGTCAAAAGGATGAGAAAGTGTTAATTTCGGACAGCTTGTCGATGAGATGAAGTTGTCGAATCTCTACTATGTATATTCTGTGAGCCACGAGCAAAGCAATCGCGTCAGTGAACCAAAAACCCCAAAATATGAATGAGAGAGAAGCCAAATTAATTTTTAAAATCAAAGTGTCCCTTTATATTTTTTGTTCTTTTTAATATTTTTTTGGGCAGAATTTTGTGTACCCCAAACAGCAGCATATATTTTTAAAATTTGAAATGAAGGTAAACACACAAGGGGATATGATATACCATATAAATATTCTATATTCAACACACGTATAACTTTGTATGTAAGCAAGGAGAGAATAACTATTATGTATTATGTTTATTGTACGGATCATGATCAGATCTGATAAAGAAAAGTAACGAAGCGAATCACATTCATTAAAATCATTCAATTAAATTTAAAAGTTAAATCTTTTATTGTACCCGAGTGCGCAGCTTAATGCATCGCTTGATGTAGTGAGCCTCATCGATCTTGTCCAGTAACTGGAGACGCAGGTGAACGATTTGCTGGCGTTGACGGAACTCCGTTTTGGTTAGATTCGGGGCATTCAGCCAGGAGAGCACGGTTTGGCAGGTGTCTTTACGCTTAGGCTGAGAAGCATTACACGCGTCCATGGTGCAGGCAAGTTGAAGTTGCACGGGTAACTGCAGTTGCTCTTCTCTATTGGGAAGTCATTGGGCAGCCTGTTTATATCGACTTTGCCTGTAGTGAACTGCTCACCAAGCATTAATGGCTTTGTTAAACTTTGGAGTTAAGAATAATGAAAGTTTCTTTAGAGTTTGTTGATTTAAAAGGTGTGATTCACAGAAAGAATGGGGATGTTTTATACACTTGACAGGTTACGTATACGTAATGTAAGGCAAAGCGAAATTGCGTATACGACTAGTTGGACCTGCGGCACTGTAATTAAATGAATAAAGTTGTGACTACTAAAGGTAAATCTACAACATGCCGATCACTTTTCCACTTTCATTCATGTTAGTGCATTTTTTTCCATATCTAATCCCAAAATATATCAAAACCATTTCCTTGCCACATGCCAGTGTCTCTCCGCATGCCAGGCTAACATGCAACAATTCAGCAGCAAAATTCCCATTCTGCGCTCAATGGCACTGAAATCCTGTGAAATAAACTGTCAAAATGTGAGACAGTCTGAGCCTGGTAAATAGAAAATGTCAATAAATGCGGAATGTCAGCAACAGAGGTAGCAAAAGCAAAACGAAAACAAGCCAGGAGGCGATGATGGGCGGCAGCAGGTTATGCAAATATTTGTTGCAGTTTCTGCCTAACTGCGAAAATGTCAACAAATGCATGAAGTATTTTTTAAATTAATTGATTTTGTTGCGATTGCCGTGAGAAAAGCACCTGCACACACACATGCACACACGCCCTTGGGCAAAGTGCCATTGTGCAATGGTGCCTTGGTGATGCCTTTGTGGAGCAGCAGCGCAGCTTCCGTTCGTCGTCAACTTTGATGCCTCGCCTTGCTCAGTTTCGTTCTCGATTTGATTATTCCGCCGGGTGATTTGCATTTTGTGCCGTGCTCCGTTGCATCCTTCGAGTCGGATGGCATTAATCAGAAACAACTGGCTCAAGGACGGACCCAGCATCCCGCTACGTATCTGTCTGTCTGCCAGTCTCCCGAGTTGGCCTGCTTTTTTTTCGTTCTCTCCCAGCACTTGGCAATAAAATCAAATGATGCGGGCATCGTAAAGCTTCGCGCCTTTCGCGTTTTCTATGTATGCCTGTCTGTGTGTCGTAAAAGTCTACACGTTACCGTCATTACGTTATGTATCGTATTGCCATTTTTGTCCCCGGCTCGGTAAATCCCCGGACTATAGAACCGCGAACCATGTGGCCCCATGGAGCATGGCTTTCTGGCCGCCGCTTTGTGGCTGTTAAAGCGGCATAAATGATTCTCGCCTCGCTCCTTTTGCTTTTCCTGCTGCAAATGACTCAAAATATTTTTTTCCGCCATGTGCAAAATCGGTGAAAATCTAATAATAAAAAAAAAAAAAAAAATTGTTTGAAAAACCCAAAGTGCGGAGATATGGGGCAGAGAAAAAATATTTATGGCTATTTGCTTTTGATATTTATTCAATGGTCTATTGTTCGCCGATAAGCTGTGAATAGTTTTTGTTTTCTTCCTCCCATTTTTTTATTTATTTTCTCGCCGTTGTTTAGTCAACAGTTAGTTAAGGTCGGAAAAATGCGGAATATTTGAGGGATAAAAAAAATGTGAAGGATGCCGAGTCGAGCATTGATCTAAATGGCTAAATGGTTTAGTTTTAAAAGATTTTTTAAAAAGCAAATACAGTAGAACTTTAATTTCTCCTTTTTATCCTCTCTCAAGTATTTGTAAATATGTTTTTTTATTGAAAATACCAAAGAGTTTTCACAATTCCTTGACATTTGAGAAATTGTGTGAGCTCTACTTCGATTTGCACTCTTTTCCTCAACCAATGTGCAATTTTCCGAGCATATGTAAGTGGCATGTGGACTGAGAAAAGCTATTTATTATTTCGTGCATTTTCCACAAGGTCATGATGCATTTGCTCTTTAAATTTGGCGCTTATTCTTTTAAGTTTTTCTTTATATTTTCAATTTCTGTTAACAGTAAGCTTAACTTATGTTTTTCTGCATTGTTTTGAAGTAAATAAATTCCTTTATTTTCTAAATTTTATTAAACTTAAAGCCGAGCTGTTCCCAAAAGGACGAATACTTAAGCTAAGGCGTGCAGAAAATTTGCATACTCTCTTTGTTCGGTATTCTCGTGCCTTGTCTTATTTATTTATTTTTTGTTGTGCTTAAATTTCGCACAACACACATTGGGCTCTGGCACATTCCATGTACTTACCTTGTGCCACTCGAGTTTATCATGCATTAATTAACGATTCAATCCAACTTCCATCGCAGCATCTCTCTTGAGTCGTGCGAACGGCGAGCACACAAACTCGAGCAGATGGCTTGCACTGCATTTGGATAAGTTGTACTTGAGCACACTACAAATAACCAGGCAATGGGTATAGTATATAGTGGATGGGCACTGGTGATGCCAAGGTACTAACTTTCTTTTTGTGGGAAACTAAGGGTACAAATAATACACAAGTCCTGAAGGAAGTAGTACCTTTTGGAACCAAATTCTGATGTGGCAAGGTTCAGCAGCAGTTTGCTCAGTAAGGATATAAAGGTTTGAGATACTCCCTGATGTTCCACTTAAATAATACCTTTTCTTATCCTAAACAATTAAATCTAGTAGCATCAAAGGTACACTTACCTGCTGAGGTACACCATCTCTATGCCCCACTGGGTGGCGGAAGGTCCTTGGTTGTGCCGCGTGTGTGTTCTAAATCACAAACACTGACACACACTCGTCCACGCAGCTGCATATTGACTTCCGCTGGGGTTGGGCGCGTGATTGAGCCAATGAGTGATTGGAGAGCTGTGAATGATTGAAGGCCTTTGTCTGAGTGTAATTTAATTAAACAAATCAAAGTTGTGCGACAGAGTGTGGGGAAAGCGGCGGTATGGAAGAGGAGTGTTTTTCTGTTAATTGAAAATGCGTTCAGCGAACGCGAACAAATATGCAGACAGCTTCGAGGGTTGGGTGATGTTTTCCCCCCATGTTTTTCTCATTTTTCCTGGGCCTTAAATAATTAACGGGGAAATTCGCACACACACACAGACACACTCGCTCGACCGCGAGGCAGAGCCGCCTTTTAGGCGGTTTATTATTTCACATTTTGTGTGAATTTGTGTTTTGTAATTGTGTTTGTTGGCGCTGGTTCTATTTGTGTTTAATTATTTGCACCAGCACCTCGACAAAAATGTTATAAATATCAAATACTTACGCATGGCGAGCTTTTTTTCCAGCTTCCGGTTGAGGAGTGCTCCGCAAAAATGCCCGAAATTAAATGTGTATTTATTCACTCATATACATATGTATATATAATGTACTTGAGCACTTTGTTTTATTACATTCATTTTAGTCAAAAGCTTGTAACGATGTGAAGCACCTATTTCCGACCCCATAAATCATATATATTCTTGATCAGCATCAACAGCTGAATCGATCTAACTATGTTCAGATTAAAAAAAAAATTTTGAAAATTTTTTCGATATATGCAGGGCAAATAAAAACAGAAGGAAATGGAGCTAGAATGGGATAAATATTTGGGAAACATTTAAAACATATTTAAAATTTAAAGGGTTTAAAAAATAAACTATATTTTTAGTTTTTTTTGTCTGCCTCTGCACTATTTTCCTTCTTCCATATTTTATTTATATGTAAATTTGAAAATAAATTAATAATAATTATAAAAAGTGTCACTTAACATTGTTCAAGTCGTTAACGTTTCTGAATAACTTTCGCTTTGTCTTGGGCCAGTGTCCTGTGCTATCCTGGGAAAGCGACGAAGCCTAACCCATTTACCGAACACGATAACTTGGCTTTGATGCATTCGGGCCACTTGCAGCTGCCGTTGACACATTTTCCGCACACACACACATCCATATACGAGCCAGTCATTAGGAGAGTGATGAAAACAAAAGAATTTGCTGAGCTCTCTCGGCATGGGTCCTTGCAGGACGAGCCGCTTTATTGAAAACTTATTCGCCAGCAGCAGCAGCAGGGCTGCAATTAACAACAACAGCAGCACAGTTTGATGCACTAGGAAACGGAGATGGAGATGGAGATGGAGATGGAGATGAAGATGGAGACGGAGACCCAGGCCGAGATGGAGATGGCAACAAAGTGGATTTAATGCCGAAAGGGTCCAAGCACAAGGCAAGTAAGTTTTATGCAAATTGCATGTAGCATAGACCCAGCGGACGGGGCGCAAAAAAGATAAATTACTTTTAAAGTGCGCAGAGGCAGAAATTGTCTCAGTACTTTTGCTACGGAATTTTCAGAGCAACCGTCTGGCTCCCGGCTACTGTGGATTCCTCATCCTTGCATTCCATATACGATATATACCCGTACTGCTTCATCGGCCCGAAATGCAAATGGTTCTCTGGGCTTCCGGACAACTCCCGGACTTTGGATGATGACTTTCTGATTTGCTTCGGCAAAACAGAAACAAGTTTTTCCCAGCCCCCCCTCTCGAAAATATCCAAGTTTTTAGATAGTTTTGCCTTTTGGGCTTTTCTGTTTTGCCAGCTTGTATATTATTTGTTAATTGATATGTCGCAAAAAGTTTATGCCATGTGTGTGTCGATGGAGGAGGCAACTGCATTTGTTGTTAAACTTTGTAATGCCCGAATCATTGCAAAGCTTTTAAAAATAGCCAACGTTTTCCTGGTTCACCAACATCTCTAGACTTTGATTGGGAAATTTGGTTTAGGAAAACTAATGGAACTTACTTTGCTTTCAACCACAAAGGCAATTTATTAGCACTGAGCTTGAAAACTAATTTTAGCTCTGAGAAAACTCTAAAATACAATACAACACATATAAGAAATTGATAAAATGTTTGTATTTAATAGCCGCATGTATTTACTTATATTTATAATAAAACCTTTGAAAATTTGAATATTTAAAGAAGAGTTAAAGCCCTCGTTGATATTTATCCCAAGTGCATCTTAAAGTAATCACTTTATAATTTCCCATATGCCCCAGGAGCAGGAATAATCCAATTGTGCGAAGCCAGAGGAACGCCTTTTTGTTCAAAAAGTTATTGGACATGGAACTCCTGGCAGGGAGTCCTGGCAAGGGTTTTTATGTCGAGTTCAGCAGAAACCAAGGCGAAATGCTGGGACCACAGTTGCACCTGGGTCTAACTTAGTCGTGCCCGGGCATCGTTGGTTTGTTTAACTATTTTCTATTCATTTATGCATTTTGCTAATAAAAATTTCGTTTTTGCTTAACTAAGTGAAACGAAAAGGTTAAAGGGACTTTAGAGGAAGCGACCGAACGAACAATGGGAGCGCAAGGAGTCCAAGTCAGAGTCCGAGTCCTTTATCTCGGCCGACTGTTTTTTTGTTCGCTCAAGCCTTTCCACAGGACAGTGGGCCCTGCCTACACGGGACTGTGCAGGACTGTACAGTTATGATAGTCATCAGTTTTGGGTATTATTTTCGGCTGCCAGACTCTGGTCCTGGCACTGTACATCCGTTTTTTTGTAACCGTCGTTGTCTTCTTGCCGCCTAGATAACATTTCCGTCATTCCCTTTTTGTTGCTCCTTTCTGGTTCCTGTTTGTTTGCAAACATTTTTTAAATTGTTTGCTGTAATTTGTTTCCGGACCCGGGACAATAACAACAAGACCAGCAACAACATGAAATAAAATAAAAAAGATATAGGCAAATGGCCGGGGTCCTTGCGCCATTTTTGGCAGTCGCTGCCGCCGTGGGTGTTTGTGTTGGCCACGCCCGGAACGTACTAGCAATATTTGCAGCATTCGTTTTGTGTGTTTTATGATTAAAAAATTATAATTTCGATATTTGTCTGACGCCGACGACGTCGTCTTGCTCAGCACGTTTCATTTTGTGTCGTCCTGGCACGGCGACAGCTGTATGTTGGGGATGTATCGAAAGGATATGAGAGGGTATCCTTTTCTATAAATATATTGACATAAATATTGAGCATATCATATAGAATTTATAATTAATTTTGAAATATCGCATGTATAAATATTGAAATTATCGCTTAATACATTAAAAACATGAGGTATCCCTTTCCAGTTATATTACAGATATATATCAAACAGAATATCAACTCCCTATAATATATATAATATTTTCTAACATCCCAAATGCACTATATGTATGTACCCCTTTTACCCACCAATTAATCGTGTCAATAGTTGGTATCCTCTACTAACAAAATTGTTTTCCCTGGCCCAAATCTGCCACCTTTCTGCACGTTCCCGTGACTTTTATTAGTTTGACTTTTTCTGTCCAGGATTTATTGGGGAAATTCGTAAATACATGTCTGTGCCAATGTTTTACAGCTGTCACAGAAATGCCTTATTTAAGCGGCGAATAAAAAATATATTTGTTTGGGTTTCCCTGCTTCATCTCCTTAGCCTCTCAATTATTAACAATTAAATCGGGTTTAAATTTTGGCAATTCAAAGTATGTTAGTTTAAACTGGTTTATAGTTGTAATTTATTTATGTTTTGTTTTTAATTAAATTGCGCAAATGAAATATCAATAGCAAAGTTAGTTTAGAGCTGTTGCCACTCTGTATGCTTTAAAAGAATTTAATTTCCTTTATTTACATAAACTTGTAATTGCTTTAAATATAATTTAGCCTAAACATTGACGTCATTTGCTGTTAATATCTATAAGAATAACAACTTGAAATAAAAGTTTGGCCTCGTGCTGCCTTCAAAAGCTATCCAAAGTCACGTAGCGCACTGACTCAACACGAAAATTATAATTAAATACAGAAAAAAATAAACATTATCTCAAAATATCTAGTTTAAAAATAGTTAAATTGAAGGCTTAGCCAAAATTTAATTAATTTCCCAATTAAATTATACTGAAAACCATAAAAATCTGTATTTAATTTCATTTTGCAAACAATTTTTCAGCTTGATTTCAACGGATTCAGTTGCAATTCGTGCTTGGCTTATGTACGTCATTAAAAATCACAGAACCGACTCGCGGCACATCACGTAGAAGTGTTTGGAATGGTTTTCAGTTTGAAATTGCACTTGCTTTTGAATAGACGTGAATCCAACTGGGAGAGCATTTCGGAAATATATACATACCAACAACGATGAGTTATTTTTTGCATTTCAAGCTGCTCGTCCTGTGCTGCTTTTGCCTCCATCGCTCCCAGTGCTTGTCACAAAACGATGTCCTGTTCCTGGGCAAAACCCCTTCGTGGGAGGACGACCTGGACTGGAGCCAGGCCAACTGGCGGCTGGTTGTGCCCTGGCTGATGCAGCGCCAGGAGCTGCGCTTCTGCGTGGCCCTTGCCAGGTTCGACGAGCGCCTGCTCCAGGGCACCACCTGTGGTCCGCTGATGGCGAACAAGCCGCTCATGGCCAGCTGCGACATTGGAAACATCGAGGATCTGACCATGACCATGCGGTATGCCTTTGGCGAACTACTCTTCGATACCAGCCGCCGGTGTCGTCCTGGCCTGGAGCTCTTCGGTGTTCGGTGCCGGCGAAGGGCATGAGTTATTGGGATTTTTTCAAAGGGAAGTAAAGACTTTGGATTAATATTACTGGGTAGTCTTACAAATTTAAGTATTTTTTTTAAGTCTGTGTATATTTAAAAGAGTTGGGACAAGTTGTAATTTAAATAAAGTAAGAGACGAAGTAACTATGATTAGTAGGAATAAATTAGCATTGAGTATCTATGGCCAGTAAGTATTTAGGGAAATTAAGTAACTTTGAACAGTAAGTATCAATGACCACTAAGTAACTATGATCTGTAATTAACTATGATCGGAAAGTAACTCTGAATATTAAGTACCTATGAACATTAAGTAACTCTGAACAGTAAGTATCTATGACCAGTAAGTATCTATGACCAGTAAGTAACTATGATCAGTAAGTATGAATGAACATTAAGTAACTCTGAACAGTGAGTATCTATGACCAGTAAGTATCTATGACCAGTATGTAACTATATCAGTAAGTTTCTAAAGTATCTAAAAGTAGGAGTAAGTATCTAAGTATGTAAAGGGGACCATGGCAATAAAGAAATAAATTGGAATAGAAAGTCTAGACCAAGGCCTGATCCCACCAACAGCTTCATACATAATATAAATGTCATGGTTAAGACTTACCGCAGTAAAGGACACGTCATTGTTTACTTCCTTCCAGTGTAGTGACCAATAATCCAAGAGAACTTCTTCCTGGTCATCCAGATGTTTTGCATTGGCCACGTCATATTTTTGAGGTCGAAGGCTGATCACTTGCACTATCACTATCGATGTGAACACTAGGTACCCCTAGGACAGACTGAGGCGCGCGCGGCCTCAGCGCCTCTATTTATAGTCCCCGAGGAAAGAGAAGAGATGAGAAAGTGAGTGTGAGTGCGCGGGAGAGGAGTTGCCTCTAGAGATCAACATAAAGCGAGAGACATAGAGAAAGAGGGGGAGAGCCAATAAGTAACTTCGAGCAGTAAGTAACTCTGGACAGTAAGTATCTTTGACCAGGAAGTATCTATGAGCAGTAAGTATGGATGATCAGTTATTAACTTTGAACACTAATAAACAATGACTTGCAACTTTTGTAACACAACACATTTCTAAGGCATGGATGGAAGCAGTCACTTCGTTCCGGGGATGTTTGAACCAGTTGGGAATCATATGATATGATGATTTACTATAATCAGTGAGTATCTATGAGCAGTAAGTAACTCTAAACAGTAAGTATCTATGACCTGTAAGTAACTACGGTCAGTGAGTAACTATGAACATTAAGTAAATATGAGCAGTTATTAACTATGATCAGTGAGTATCTATGAGCAGCAAGTAACTCTGAACAGTAAGTAACTAACTTTGAACACTAATAAACAATGACTTGCAACTTTTGTAACACAACACATGTCTGATACTTGGCTGGCAGTAGTTACTTCGTTCCGGGGATGTTAGAACCAGTTGGAAATCATATGCACAGGTGTGCGAGATTTGTTTTGGAACAAATTTAAGAGCAAGCTATTTGAAGTATGGAGTTATTCTTCTTTGTAATTTCACAAGTATATAAATCGGAGCTTGCCGAATCGGTGGACTATATATATACATATATACAGCTGCCAATCGGGAAATTTAAATTAAATTATAACTTCTCTGATTTTCATCAAATTTTATATATAGCCATTATATAGTAATCTAAAATTTGTAAAATTGAATGAAAATCTGACTACTATATCATATAATATATGCAGCTGCTATACAAAATAAAGAGAAAAATGCAAAATGCTGTTGATGCTGATCATATATGATTTATGAGGTCAGAAGTGACTCCTACGCTGATTAAAAATATATAATAGCCTCTGCAAGGGTTTATTTTAATACTTCTTATGAATTATTTTTGAATTAATAACAGTCCTATTTAATTAATAATTTTTGCATGAACAATTTTATTAAATGGTTAATTGGTTAATTCATTAAATATTTGTTATATATTTAAGTTTTAGAAATATATTTCTTTATTCCTGTGAATCAATGAATAACTTTACACTTATTTAAGTATTAACATTGATTTAGACAACATAGAATTCCACTTATAACTAATTATGCCTCCCATAAAATCATTTTGCAAACGAAAACATGCAAACTTGATTAACGCCTTGGCAGTTTCCTATTTTTGGTCCTTTATCAACCCAGTAATTGTACTCATTTCATCTCCTAAGTGCATTGCTAATTCACTTTATTGAGTCATTTTTCATCGTTGGCTCTGTCCCCCTGCCAGTGTCATTTCAATGTGTCAATAAAAATCAAAAGGGGAGAGCTTCACTCTTCAGCCTGTGCTGGCACATCCTGGCTCGCTAACTGGGTGAAGGACTGAGAGTCCTAGAGAAGAACGAGAAGGAGGAGGACCAGTCCAGTTCGTCCATCCTCCTGACAAATGGCGATTATAATTTGTAAAATGCGCCCATCTTGTTGTCCCCCGCCTCCGATATGTTCGACTTGTGGCCTAGTTGTTGCCTGTCGGCCAGCATTTTTTCCCCACTCCCCATTTTCCATTTCCCATTTCCTTTTACTCTTACCCCCCATTTCTGTTTCAGTTGCAATTCCTCTGTTCTCGGATTCAGTTTAGTTCATGGCAATTGTTGTTGCAATTAGCAGAGGCACAACTGATGGCTTCAATGGCAAAAAATCACATTGCAAATGGGTCCAGGATGGGGTGGCTGTAGCTGGGATAATGCCTTATTGTTGCTTCTGTTAATTACCGGACAGTGTTTAAGCGTTCGGCATCCATGGAGATTTTTCCGAGATGGAAACATCAATGCTGTTCAAGCAGCTTCTCCCCAAAGGCCTTCGATCGATTTTGGGTGACACCTTTTGGATGGATGGAAAGAGTTCGGAAACTCTTCGGCGCAGTTGTCAGCAAAAATAATTTGTTTTCTAAACTGTTTTGGAAGGGAAATTAAATTTAGAGAAATTTAACCTGAAATTCTGTACATTAAACTTAATTTTAGAAAACCTTTTCTTACATTTGATGATTTTTTTAGCCAATTTCTTTTACCCTTTTGCTCCTCAAACTGTTCGTTCTTTAAACGTTTATCTGCCACTTTCAAGGACTCTTCAAACGGCAGCTGCCCCGCCCAAATTATGGCCAACGTTAGCTACACAACATGCGAAAAGCTAAATGTAAATTAATGAATTGTTTAAAGCACTTAAAATATTTACGCTCAAAGCAAGTGGATGAGTGCCGGCCACGCCTTCAATCCAGGAGAAGCTGGAAACGCGAACGGAGTGCCCACCAACCAATGAATATGCAAACGATTCCACCACCCAGGTCCACGTCCGCCCTCTCCCAGAGCCCAAGTTCGTTAAAAACGCAGCATAAGGTCAAGGGGATTATGCTGGGGCCAAGAGCGAATAGGCGGAGGAAGGACACTGACCTAAGGATAAATATTTCCACAGAAAAATATAAATACAATACAATTGAAATTTAGGATAATTTTCAGAGGAATTTGAGGAGTATCTATCCAAAGATATTTCTATTTATAATATATAATTGCTTTTAAGCTCTTGTTTAGTCTTTTTATTTAGTATTTCTGCACCACGGTGCGTATACGCAATGCTGTTGTCGAACGGTCATTAAGGCGGCGAATAGAGAGCTGAGCTCGCTGTTTGCACAACGAGCAACGAGGACACTACTGGCAACAGCTTGTCCTGTCCCGGCCGTAGTCCTGCGCTGAACTGCTGACTGTTAATGTGCAGACCCCTCAGATCCCTCCCCTCTCCATTGCTGTAAAATATGCATAAACAAATGAAACGAACTGACTTTGCTACTTGCTCCGGCTGCCGCTTTTGATGCGATGCAGATGCAGTTTCCACCCGGTCCTGCCCTTCGACCAAGTTCAGTTGGAGTAATTAAATTTTGCTCGAAATTCCTTGAATTTCCTTCTTTGATTTCGAATGAGCTCGGATTCGCTTGGATTCGCTCGGATTTCCCCAGATTTCCCGCCTTATTTGCATTGAAAAAGTGAAAAATCTATTAATGGCAAGGGGATGGTAATAATTTATGCGGCCTTCGGTCGCTCTCTCTCTATCTCTCAGGTCAAATGTCTTCAACTTCAATTCCTGGTAAATGAGATCGAGTCATATTGCAATCACAGCCCGAAAGCCAGCGAAAAGTTCCCTCTTTGCATGTCCTGTGATTGCGGCAAAGGACACAACAAGCTGGTGAACCTGCAAACTGGAAGCAAATTGATTGCATTATCGAAGAGAAACTTGGCGAATGAGCGACGTGGGAGAAGACAAAGGAATCGAACCATAAAAGTTCGTTGCTTTCACGCAAACATATTTAAGGATGCCCCAGGACACTGGCGCACTTGTACGAACAATAATAATAATGGAACGAATAGAGGGGGTTCCAAAGCAACCGACGAAAATGTTTCAAACGGGTTTGGAAAATTATTTTGATTCAGGGTTCGATGAAGAATTTTGGGTATAGAAGAGGTCCTTATAATCTGTATATCCTTGCAAGGTATTCTAATTTTAGTTGGAAGGTTATAAAGTAGTGAAGGAGTCATTTGCGACCCTATATTATATTATTATATTATATTATTGATCAGTATTAAAATCTAAATCGATCTAGCTATGTATGGAAGAAAAATAATTTTTGAAAATTTATTAGATTTTTGCAAAAAAAATATGGGGTTACATCGTTAAAATTGTCAAAAATTGACAACATTTTAATTTTAAATGAAGTATGCAAATTTATTAACCTAATAAAAACTAGGACAAAACTGCATTCCGAATCGAAATTGATACATTTTTTTGATTATTTTTAAATTGGCGTATGGAAGGCTATACAACATATGGCTTTCTGTAGTTAGTTTCAATTGTTTTTAACCTGTGATTATGTTTTTACATTATTTTTTCCTTCAAGTATATTGAAAAACATGCGAAGAAACATATACAATATATTATAAGCCCTGCAGATCTGTTGAAACTGGTTAATTTTATATAAATTTTACAATGTTCGTTACAGAACTTTTCCAGCTGAGAAGGCAAGGATTTCGTGGCAGCTCTGGCAGTTGTTCGGCATTAAATAAAGGACTCCCTGCACGATTCCTGCGATTATCGTTCATTTACCTTAACCGTTTTTGTTCGTCCGCTCGGGTGG